TGTTTCAAACAAAAACCAATCACTCAAGGGAGTATTCCTAACCTAGTCCCATGATGTAGACAAGATTAGTATATGTTATATTTATTTTTTGGCCCTTTTTGAGTTGGATGCATGTACTAATTTTCCACTTTTTTTTCAGATGTGAAATAAAATTCGATGTTGTATTTATTTTTTTTATTTATACATACTAATTGATTTATTAAATGTTTTGAATATATGATAACATAGTGTTGTATCAATGTTAAATTTGTCTTGTATTTATTTAAAGAGGAACACTCAAGTTAATTATGCCTCTTGTAATGCGAAAAACAAAGGAAGGAAAAGACAAAGAAGTGAAGCAATTACAGGTTTGAAGCGCACTCTGCCGCAACTTGAAAGAAGGGCGTGTTCTTTTTTGTTTCTTTTTCTCTTCAAGTCGTCTCAATTTTAATTGTAAACTTGTGATTATAACACAAAACGACGACCGTGTTAAATTTCTCTTTTAAATATTTTTTTTTAAGACAAGGAGTATTTCTAAAAGAATTGTTCATCTGCCTTTTTTTTTTATTTGAAGGCATATTAAGATTATCAGAATTCATAGTAAATGGATTTGAGATGAAAAAACATACTCTTGTCACGTTTTTAGACTTTCAACAAGCGTTTGATAAGGTTTGGCATTGTGGTCTATTGTACAAGCTAAAGAAAGTGGACACGCCCAAATATTTATATGACGTTCTGAGCTCATTCCTCAACGGCAGAACATTTACAGTTAGAATAAATAATATAAATTCAACCTTAAGACAAATCCATGCTGGCACCCCACAAGGTTCTGTTCTTTCTCCCATACTTTTTAACTTTTATGTTCACGACATTATCCAATCCACAAACACCTCCATAGCTATGTTTGCCGACGATACAGCTGTCTTTTCCCAACACAATGATATATTAATAGCCAGAAATACACTGCAGTCTTACCTAGTAAATCTAGAACAATATTTAAAAAAATGGATGATTTGTCTCAACACCGAAAAATGTACAGCAAAAATTTTTACTCTTAGACGTCCCTCAGACCCACTTGAACTGATTCTCAAAAATAAAGAACTAAAATGGAACCCAGCTAGTGAAGCAGTAAAATACCTCGGAGTTTATCTGGACCGCCGCCTTACGTGGAATTACCATATAAATAATAAACTGACCCAAACATACGCAAGGTTAGCAATGTTATATCCCATAGTAAATAGAAAATCTAGTTTAAAACCAGAGACAACTGTTCTTATTCATAAAACCATACTAAGACCCTTGCTAATGTACGGATGTGAAGTCTGGGGAGCCGCTACAGCTACGAAAAGAAAAAAAACTACAATCCTTTCAAAACAAGGTATTAAGAATTGCAGTAGATGCCCTCTGGTTCATAAGATACGCTCAACTACATCGAGAACTAAAATTGGAAACAATAGATGAATTCATCAAAAAACGATTTAAAAAATTCCATACGCAGCTACCAGCAGTTAAAGGTGCAGTGGCCTACAACTTAGGAAACCCAACCTCATCTCGAAGACTGAAGCCCAGACTGATCCAAGACATCATGTTATGAACAATTAATAATTTTTCTTTTATAAATTGTAATTATTCAATAATTATAATGTATATATAGTTAGGGGTGTCTTTTGCAAGACTATACCCCACCAGAACAAATTGTTAAAAATCATCGAATTGTTACAACAACCATGTAAGGCCCACCAGGCCGATCTGGTAATAAATAAATTTTAAAAAAAGAAGGCATATTATAGTATCCAAAATTAATTGTGCATGAATAAAAAATTATTTTATTTTATTTTGATTCCTTATGATAAGTAAAACATAAATGAATTCAAACGTATTATTCTAAGGATTTTAAAAGTATGCAAAGCGTTTGGCATACCGTAAGGTAGGGTATCTTTGGGATACTTTTTAAAATTTTAAGCTGCTTCTATCTTTATTTTCTAATTTAAAATGCTGAAAAATTATTAGAAAATTATATTATTATTAGAAAAATTATTAATATAATAGTAGCATTTGTCTTGCAAAATATGGTAGAACAATAAATCTATAAACAAGGATATTTTACTAAAAAGGATTTTAATTTGTCCTAATCTTACCCCATTGATTGGGGTAAAATTGAGACAGTTGCAAACGGCAGGAAATATGTTTTGTACCAATGTTACTCTACAATATTGAATAGGATCATTATTTACGTAAGAAACTACATAGAAAATGAGCATATATCAATTTTATCCAACAATACTATACTTAAGAGCACATGAGAAAAATAAATTCGTATTAATGGTACAAAATGATTTGCAAATCATAATTTTTTTAACCATTAGGCCTTGAAAAAATTTGAACAAACAGAAAATATAACAAATATCGTATAATTCAGTTTTTGTTAACTGAGGCCAATAGATAGCTATAAATTTGTAACTCTTTCAATTTGAAAATTTCTGAAAGCTCTTTCAATTTGTCATTTGAGTAGTGAATTTCATCAGGCTTTGAAAGCTATTTTCAATTAAAAGCTGATTTCTTCATGGCCGATATAAATACTTCGGTAATCTGATGTTCGCAGGTCTTGAGGTACAAGTGAATGTTTCATGAAAACAAGAATTAAAAAAAAATGGAAATAAATAAAACCAAACTGCACAACGAGTATAGTGACCTAGGGTTCTCAAACTGCCGCAAGGTAGTAGCACAGTACATACCTACACAAAGCACGTTTTTGTAGACTGAGCCAACACAGTGTATCCCCCACGAATTCACCACAAATTTTACCACGGAATAACCGCAAAATAAATTTTACCCGCTGTCCTAAAATTTACCCACCCAGTGCCAAAGTTAGTTCCATCTTACGGTATTCATTTTTTTTTTTTTTAGCGTGTTTTAAAACATTTTTTATCTAGATAGAATTATGTTATTTGCAATACTTAGGACGGCATTACACAAATTATTTAATGTTGATCCTAGCAGCTGTCCTTTGTTCCACAGTGTTGTAGAAATTAGTGATGGGAAAACAGAATCAGGTCAGAATGATTCATCGAGTTCTTTTTGACGATTCATTGATTAAGTAAAAAGAGTCCTGTGGAGTTATACAATAATAATACGCTTAGACTCATTAAATGAATCAAACTTTTACATTTTACATGATTAGAGGGACTTTAGCCGTAATTACAGGAACAATAATTCTTTTTGGGATGATAACTTAATATTTCTTCTTGAGACGTGCATAGCTCTAGTAGCTAGAGTATAATGCGGTATAATATAAAAACAGACCCTATTGAAATTTCTTTTGAAAGCTCTTTCCCCCTTGGTTCCGTTCAGAATAGTTTGTTCAGCTTTTCTTTTTCTTTTTCGTTTACTCGTTTTTTTTTTTTTTTAATTTCTGATATACGAAGCGGTTATTCTAAAAGTACAACCAAACCTATTCTAATCAAAGTAGAAACGTCGAGCTTCATTCCATGGATCTGGTACGAAATATAGTTCAACCCGGTCAGCGCCGCTAAACTCGAGAATGTTAAAGCGGCCACCATCGCCTCAGCTCGTTAGTTCAGCTCAGGGATGGGAGAGAAAACGCCTAATGTTTGAAAAGAGCGGTCTTTGATCTCAAACGTATGAACTGTTCTTCCAAACAGACAACAGTTGTTTTTCTTTAGTTCACCCGTTCGCCACTAGTCGATCCGCTGTTTGTTTCGTTTTTTCCAAACGAAACAAAAGCTCTTTCTGCTTTCCTACTAACCTATCAGTGCATCATGAAAATACACAACAGTTTTTTTTATAAGACATGTTTCAACTGTTAATTTTTAGCTTCCATTATGAATGGAGGCTAGAAATAAATAAACGTTAACATTACAGTTACTACATAATGTTAACTTAACTTAAGCATATTTGTAGGCAAAATTAGTTTGTTTTTAAGTTTATCTATCAATATTAGTGTCTTGCAGACCGAAAATAATTTTTATGACTGAAGATATTAACATAAATCAATTTAATCGCATGAATAAAATTAAACACTATTATGTTCTATAATAATTGAAAGAGGCAAACTGTTAAAAAAATGTTTTTAAAAAACAGACTCATGATGACCAAGTAGCATAATTTCAAACTCCGAACATCACTTCATAAAGAAATATGGCAAGACATTTAGCGAAAGAATGTCATGAATAAGCTAATCGTTAGAGTTTAGAAACTTGTCCAAAACCACAACCACCAGATTAATGCAACAAAATTAATAAAATGTTACTAAAATAAAAAATCCTTCTAAGTGTAAAAAATATTTTTTAGTTTTAATTTTAAGATTAAGCATTTATTTAATATTAAAATATATTAAATGGCTATCAATTTCAACTCGAAAAATGCCAAACTTTATACATAAAACGTTTCATTCATTTCAAGACCTGTTATTAAACGAATAGAGTTATTATTTTCATTTTATTATTTTTTATATTTATTTTATTTTTTTCTTATTTTCATTAAAAATATTATTTAGGCTTCTGGAACACAACCGACATCTTTTCACTTTTCTCCAATTTGGAGATGAGATAGACAGCAATGGACCTACTTATACATAAAACGTTTCATTCATTTCCAGACCTGTTATTTATTGAACGAGCAGGTCTTACTCAATGAATCCTTGCGTTATTCTATGAACTATTTTTTACCACCAGTTCTTAAGAACTGTTGTTATTTTTTCAACGAACAGTTCATTTACGTTTTTTAAAAGTAGCAGACACGCCCACCTCTAGTTCAGCTGACTGAATTTTAGTTTCAGCTAGGTAAGTTAGAGATGACTTAATGGATTTACGTCCTTCTTTTTCGCGTATCTACTTGAAGCTGCTATTGTGACATTCTGACTAATAATGGCTTATGTCGTAACTCTTTTACCCCATCATATTGATCTCACACCTAGATTTTGATTTAAAACAAAAAATACATCAGAGTTATTTGATGACCAATACAATAAAAGATAATTTCTAATGATGTTGATGTTTCAGGAGAACGACGTGGACGCCATCCATCCCGGTTATGGGTTCCTCTCGGAGAGGTCAGACTTCGCCCAAGCCGTCACAGACTCCGGTATCAGGTTCATCGGACCTTCCCCGTACGTGGTACAACAGATGGGGGACAAGGTGGCTGCCAGGCAAGCCGCCATCGACTCCGGGGTACCCATTGTACCAGGTTAATATTAGCGCTCATTTATTTTATTTTATTATTTTTAATTTTTTATATCCTATTATTTTCATTAAAAATATTATTTAGGCTTCTGGAACACAACCAACCTCCTTCCACTTATTCTCTAATTTGGAGATGAGATAGATAGCAATGGAGTACTTTCATGAATTTTCAATTTGTAAAGAATTTTTTTTTTTTTATTTAGAAAAAAAGTACATTTTGCCTCAATTAAGGGCATTGAGTACTCAGTAGGTATGAAACACAATCATACCATAATAAAATAAAAACTAGATTATAACAAAAGAAAACTTGGAATAACAGAATAAATCAAACATGAGACAGCATTAAATAAAATAAAATAATTAAAAATTAAAAACACATTCATACATATTCGGCGAAGAATACAATATAAAAATAAATAAGCAAATAGTTCAATTTTTTTTTATACATTTTTGCAAAAATAATTATTTAAAAATAATCAATTTCAACCGAAACTTTATGCTACATACATGTCCTTGAAGAAGTCCTGCAAAGTAGGGGCGAAACGTTGGCATGAAATAAAATAGTTTTTTCCTAATTTTAATCTTTTTATGAGCGCCACAAACGACCATATTCTTGAATACATCAAGTATTCAAAAATAATTAGTTTTAAAGAAAACTGGTGGGGCCAGAAACAGATCAAAGCAATAAATACAATGCTCTGTTAACTTTTTTTGTGTTTGTTATCAATATTTTTAGTATAACACTAAATTAAGATTTCATCCAAAATCCTTTGTTTTTTTGTTTTTTTATGTACTTTTGTATTTGAATTATCTTTTAAATAATAATAACGAATAAGCTTTTATAGAAAGATTTATCAATTCCATTCAGATAATGAAGCTATAATTATTTGAACAAATATATTTAATTGAACCCTAGGTTCCGGCAACTGTGATGCGAATTGATGTTTATTTCATTTATTTTAATTTTTTATTTTTTTTAAGATTATAATTATAGGAATAAACCAAACGTTTTTTATTTAATTATTTTCTCTCTGAATATAAAAATTAGTTGAAAGAAGGCTTGCACTCTTGCAATTATTTTTTAATTGAATAATTAAAGAATTAATTCAATAAATAATTTTGTTTTATTATTTCGTATTTTATTAACAAACTCTTTAATTATCCTGAGAAATTATTTTTTTTTCTTGAATAAAATATTATTTTCTTTTTAGAGAGAAATTTAATTTATATAAAGGTTTTATAAAAGGGAGAGAAAATAATTTAATTATGAATCAATGTCGGTGTTTGTTCCACCGCCAATTATTAATTATTTTATTTAAATTAAAATACACCTATAATTCCTCTTATAGAACGGTCACTTGAGTACTTCCATTAATTCAATAATTAAAGGCAAAAATAGTCTAGCAAGCTATGAATCACTTTATTCAGGCGGCTGCAGAAAAACAAAACTACTTCGGATAATGAGAGAAAAGATGTCATATCGAAGCTACAGTAGCTCTGCTTTGAGCTCCGATTTCAGATTATATTTTATACCTCTTTGGTCGACATTGAAAACCTTCACTTCTATAAAGTATATCTTTAAAAATATTGAGAACTAATTGAACCGTTAGCGAATAATTCGCAATGTATATTGTTCAGCGAATCAATGGTAATATTTTGTTGAAGTTAGTTAACGAAATATATTATGATTGAGAGGAATTAATTTTTTTTCTCAATTGTGATTATTATTATTCGAAATAATAAATCGAAACTTGTATACAAATTACAATAGGCTGTACCTTTACCAATAATGGTGCGATTTTCACGATTTTGTTTCAATTTTGTAAGAATTGTAAATTTTAGTTAGAATCATTAAGTTTGTCACTGATAAATACACATCAATTGTTATGACAGAAATCTGGGAAAAAAACACAATTTCATAACTACTTTATATGAAAAATCATTGTTTTTAAAATTTTTGTTTTTATAAATAAAGTATTTTAGGCAATTATGTTTATTAAAATACATTCCATATAGCGGAAAAACAAGAAATTAAATCTTTGAAGCAATTAATTGTAGTAATTTTTGCTGAAAACACTGGATAAGAAACCAAATCACTTGTTTTTAACATATTGAGGTGAATCTCAAATTTTTTCACATATTGAGGTGAATCTCAAAAATTTTCCTAATAATCCTTAACTTAATTGAAACAGACATAAAGCCTATTTTCGAAAAAAAATTTTTGAAAGTGGGATAAATATAGTAAAGTTGAAGGAAGATAAAAAAATATTCCAAATAATTTATGGTTTGTTTTTAAACAGAACTTTCCTTTGTCCTCTTTAAATAATTTTATCAACGACAAACTCTACTTTCGCTTAAAGCAAATTTTGTCTACTTTACTATGGAGCAATGTTTAATCACTTAAATCTAATATTTTTTAACTTATCGCTTCCTATTCAACAAAAAAACGTGACTTGTTTAAAAAAACACAAATCTTAAATTTGCTACTTTTCTGCTAAAAAATTTTGCCATTGTTTTTATAAACTTTTTTGTAGATCTTGAAATCTACTATCTACGTTTTAAATATTTCTCTCTACTTACGGGACTCCCTGTACATCTGAAATATCGCAGTTGTAAATTCTAAGGATATTTGCAAGTAACAACAGAACTTTCCTAAAGAACATACACCAAAAATAAGAGTAAAACAAATCTTTCGATTCATTATTACTTGCGATCCAGCGAAAAAATATTGTATCAGTATTTTCACCAACTGCATTAGGAAGTTCGTGTTCCTGCACAGAGAAGAAATACAGGAAGTTCCTGTTTTTTTTTTTACGCGAGCTTACCTCATCACGAAAGCCGATTTGCGGCTAAAGTCTCTGGAAAAAACAAGTCCTTATATTTTTGTTTTTAAAGGAAATTTTTTTTATTATGATGTAGAGATGGTTGACCGTTGAAATAATATGAGAAGGAGTTGGTTGGGGGTGCAGTCAAATAAATACTAAATTAAAACATACTAATTATTTGAATTTAAATAATTTAGATTAAAATAATTACTATGTTATAATTTAGTATTTATTTGAGCGCACCCCCGACTAACTCCTCAATTTTTTTTTATTGAATATTAATACATTCTGCCACATTAAAGGCCATTAATATTAAGGCTACATGAATCATTCACACAATATGTACATACAAATAATAACTGAGAATAATAAAAAATAATATAAATAATAAAGAAAAAGAAATATATAAAAATAAAATAAGTAAATAAATAATAGTAATAATAAAATAAAAATAACATCTTAGACGCAGGCATACCTATATACACTATTTACAATCGGTCATGGGAACTACGAACCAGACTTGTCCCCCTGTGGAGGAAAAAGCGAGGCTTCAGGAGATCCCTGCGCTTCTCCCTCAGCCACTTCACTGGTATTAAAAGCCAGCGGAGGCTGAGTAAGGGCGCTACAAATACAGACACTCACGACAAAAGGGAATTTAGAAATCTTTCAAAAACATCATGGATATTTTATTTATGTACAAAGAAAGGATTAGATATATGTAATGGTTCATTAAATATATGCATGTTTGGCTTAATGCATGGGACATTTAACTTCAACAAAGAAATAGGCAGTACTGTTTGAGGGGGAAAATGTTGGTACCCTTAATTATATAATTGACTAAGGAGAGAAACTTGGCAGTTGAGCGTGAACTCTGTCAAATCATCTCTTGCACCATCATAGACCAAGAAACAGTATTTTCTTACAAAGTACTGAACCTAAGACTTTTGCTCTTTCGTTCCTCGCCTTTTAGGCTATACGGTTTTTTTTTAGGGCCAGAGGGTGATGGCACAGGGGATCAATGTCAAATTTAAAAGCCCCCTTTCCCCTTCTGGGACGAGACTCTAAATAATAATTATTTTATCGAATATAATTTCGGTTATCAGTTTGCTGTGTACACCCGCGTTAGCCCGCTCGGCCACCCCGCCTCGTGTTCCTCCATGGGTTCAGTGGTACAGGTTTATGATTGCGTGTTTATATAATACAGCTGAGAGAGTTTTATCGTATTGTCTAAGGTAGACCCAGGCACATCTCACTCCCCAGCACACCTCTAAAAATCATTGTTGTTTCAAATTTTTATTTAAATGTGGACTTTTTTTAAGTGAATACTTCTTTGGCGCGTTTTACAATTTTTATTTAAATAGTGAATGAAACTGAGCAGTCAGGCTCGGATCTGTAACGCTCATTCGTCTAAAATCGGCTGTAGTCGACTAATTTAGGGATTTTTTCCTATGAATTATAATATCGCAGAAACTAAAAATCGGACTTGCATACTGTAAGTGAGGGAAATGTCCACTAACTTCTTTCTAATGAGCTATTATTCCAAATAGTATCTTGACAGATGGTATCTAACATGCCATCTTAGAGAGACGAAAAGAGAAAACAGTGTGGAAAACCAAATTATAACTAGTTTTACTGAAGAAAAGGATTAAAATATCTAAGAAACTAATAATCGGACCTACTCACTGTATGCGAGAGAAATGTTAAGCAGTTCATCTTCTTTGTAATGAGCTATAAATAAAAATTGTATTTTGACGTTACTTCCGCGAGTCGAAAAGGAAAAACGGTAGAGCCACAAAAATCATATAAGAACGAATTTTTTTAATATTTTGACTAAAATATCTAAAGATTTTCATACCATGGAAAATTTAGAAACTTGGTTGTGGAAGTCAATATAGATGTTTTTTTTAATCAGCCACGAAAAAAATAAGAATTTATGTATTTCTATTCGATTTTCTATCTGAATTTCTACACGATAGAGTTTCGACAAATTATTGAACCCTGTTACAGAAGTTATATTTAAAAAATGACGGAGTTTTTGGTAGGCATTTAGCAAATAGATTTCAATCAAAAGTATTTATCAAATATTTTATTTTTCATAAACCTACTGTATCATTTTTTACGATCAGTAAGAACTATGTTTACTACAGTAATTTATACACAATTATAATTTTATGTATTGTAAATATTATTATTTTTTGAATATTGAACAAAAAGTAGTTTATGCACAACTATAATTATATATATTGTAAATTTTATTACTTTGTGAATAAAATGAAAAAAAAATGTATATTTAATCTTATTATTTTCGCCTTGTCGATGTTTTCACTTCTACCGTGTGGTCCAAAGCACCGTTTTTTTTTTTAATTATTATTTCAAAAGTAAAACCTCAATCTTATATACGTTACCTATCAGTTTTTTTATTCATTGATATTTACAGCTGTATTATAAAAAAATACAACTAGTAAACGTGCACACAGTAATAATACGATCACATAAAAACACTTGTTGAGAAACTATCCATGGGTAGCACTCTAATAATATATTTACATATGCAGATCACGAGGCCATCTTCTTTTCAGACGCCTCGGAGGTTTATCAATGATCGAGGTGGAAGCAAGGCTTGAAATGAGAGGGTTCGGATGGTTTTGGAGTTTGTTATGGAAGGATAGATATCTAGATTGGGCCAAATCGAAAACATGTGGAACATTAAGGTCTTTATGGACGATTTTATTTGTGACAAAGTAAGGAGCGTTGAGGATTTTAACATATCAGTTGAATTCTATTGCAGCTCAAATTCTTGCGATTTGTTTTCATGTAAGTGCATGAATTGTTCATATCGTATTGTTATTAGTGGAATACAGAAACAAATGGCGAATGTAACGAATCGTTTGGTTTTTCCTATATTAGCTGTCCTAGACTTAATATCATTAAAATGTAACTATTTTTAGGAATTCGATTTTTAACAATTTTTTAACTAGAAGTTTGGTTTCTGAGAAAATAAATATGTAATATACCCATAAAGGTACATATATATAAAACAATAAACTTATTACAATAGAAAATACTCGTAAAATTGCAAATAAAAGGACTTTGTTTAATTACGTTTTTAAGGAGCCCATTTCCAAGGGTTGATTCTTCCAATTTCTCTTTCTGTTATTTTTTTTTATTGTTTTGTTTTTATAAGCCTCCGGGGGTAAACGAAAATTGAATTGCCCCTAGCTTCTTCTTTTAATGTTTATTTTCTTAACGTTTTACTTTATTTCTTTTACATTTTTTTTTATTATCTGGTTACACGAGGCAATTTCTTTAGTTAAAATAACTACCTTATTTATGAAAGAGAGTTACGTTTTTGTTTTATTATTTCGTATTTTATTAAAATATACTTTTTAAATATCCTGGGGAATTATATTTTTTAATAAAATATTATTTCTTTTTTAGAGAGAAATTTAATATATATAAAGGTTTTTATAAAAGAGGCAGAAAATGATTTAATTATGAATTAATTTTGTTGTTTGTTCCTTGAATTCAAATATTGCAACAGAACCTCCAATAATTAATTCTTTTATTAAAATAAAAATACATCTATATTTCAACTTTTACGCTTCAAGGTACGTATGATTAGAAAAAAAAAATCGTTCATTCATCCGTCGTACGTCGCATATTGGGACAAAGGCGGAAAAAATTAAATTAAGTTTTAAAAACCTTTTTTAGTGGTTTTTGGTCCTTGAATAGTTAAGGGATATACTGTTGCTATACTTTTTTGGAAGAGGGGCTCTAAATATGACCTATTGTATCTTATCGAAAAATAGTTCAATTTAAGCATAATGCTTATTTTTCTTGTGAGCTTTTATTCTCAATGATAATAAATTGAAATTTCGTGAATATTCGCCTCATGTATAGAAAAAATTAATCATCGATAGCCTGTTCAATCAATCGGTTTGTTACGAAGAATCGAGTTAAACGCTATTCTTTTCTGAAATATTGAGAAAAAAAGTCGAATCCTACAAAAAAAGCTCCATCGACCTCCATCACGAATCAAGTATTTTTATAATCAATATACCTTTGAAAAACTTCTGTAAAAAACTAATTTCCAATGGAAAACAATTGTGGCTTCAGTATAAGTTTTTGTCTGAGAAGAAGGCCCAATTCGAACTTATAAGGCTACGTCAAAATTAAAAAAAAAAAAAACGTTAAAATTTGGAAGTTTAACTACCTAAGTGGCAATATTTCCTTTTCTCTTCATGTCCAGCAATTTTAACATATTCGTCGCTGAGCAGTACCTTGTTAGAAGTTAGAATAATTGCTAATCATTTTTTTTAAATATAATTCTGGTTTGTTAATATTTTGTGCTTAAATCTAATGGTTTCTGCTACGCAGAATAAGCCACTTTTATTAAATCCTAAAACAGCTCGAGCATCATTTCATAAAAATATATAGAATTATACACGTATAATTAAATTGTAGTATTTATATATCTAGCGTTAAAACTTATTGTATTTTATTCAGGAACACCCGGACCAGTTACCACATCAGACGAAGCTATCGAGTTCTGCCTCAAGCACGGACTTCCGGTAATTTTCAAAGCTGCGTATGGAGGAGGCGGTAGAGGAATGAGAGTTGTGAGGAACATGGAAGTAAGCTTAATTTATATTCCATATTCTGTTATAATAACAATTATTTTGGAAGAGAAAGAGATTCCTCTGATGTGTGTCCAATGAACTCTTTCTGAGCCTCTTGTCTTTTGCAGGATGTCAAAGAATCCTTCGAGAGAGCCAGCTCCGAGGCGGCGGCTGCTTTCGGCAATGGAGCCATGTTCATCGAAAAATTCGTCGAACGACCGAGGCACATCGAGGTCCAACTCCTCGGAGATCGGGCCGGCAACGTCATCCACCTCTTCGAGAGGGACTGCTCCGTCCAGAGGAGGCACCAGAAAGTGGTCGAAATGGCACCCGCGCCTCATCTAGAACCAGCGGTCAGTAAAATATTATAAATACATTTGCTATATTTTATTTATTTATAACAATGGCGGGGCTCCTCAACCTCTTACGGGTCATTTTAGCCATTACAAAATATTTATTTTACATCAGATGAAATTAAATTTAACAATAAATTGAAAGCATAAAATATTTAAATAATAAAAAAAGTGCCAGCAAAATTTAAATTTTGTTGTATAGGTGCGTTATTTGAAGAAATGTAAACAATTTTTTTGCCAATTTGGTGGTATTTTTCAAAATTCAGTAATATCATTCTCCAATTCAACTTCATTCCGTTGTGCTTCATATGCATAACATTCAGTCTAAATGTGCCTGACTGTAAATTGACCCCGCAGCAGAGACACCGAGGGGGCGTCCCCTTTGTCATTAGGTGCTCATGAGTTTGCGGTGAGTGGCAGATTCGGAGCCTTGTCAGGATTATTTCTTCTCTTCTATTTATCTGAAGGTCCACTCGATTGGGAACTACAGAGGGCTCAATCACTCTCAACTTATTGTCTCTTAACACATACCAGAGACCCTGCCATTTTTCTAGAGCCTTTCTCTTTACCAAAGCTATTACTTCTTTTGGAAAAGCATCCCCTACTGGAGTTCCTTCTGTAATTAATTATTTTGCCATGATATCGGCTAGCTCATTACCTCTAATACCTGAGTGACCCGGTAACCACAAAAATTCTATTTTACATCCAACACCCTCCAATGTTTTTATATGCCTAACCGTGTCTGTGACTAATGAATTTGTTGAAAACGAATTTTTAATAGCTTCGATGGCAGATTCCGAATCTGTACAAATTTGCTATATTTTAAGCAGTATAATAGGATTAAACCAATATCTCGTCAATAGTTAATAACTGACCTGGACAAAGTATTGTATTTATTATTTTAAATTAAGATCTTCTTCTTTGAGCTTCACTCAAATGGTCTGGTCCAGAATTAAAAATAAACTCGATAGTCTTCCTGAGATCCTCAGACCACAGTAGAGCTTCATCGTCAAGTCATTGGAGTTTGGCCAAATTTTTTTCCTGATGTCCTCCATCTCAGAGTATGTTTGAAGAATATATTCTGTTGTATTTTGGTTCTCTATTGTGACCCTTTCTGAGTATAAAGTGTAAAACATTCTTTTAATTTTGGAGTTTAGATTCCTTTTTAGTCGCCCCATTATTCTGCTGCCCTATACCATCACTTAAAGACTTTTTCGTGAATAAGTTCAGAATATTTGGCTGGAAGTCATCAATCACTAACTAAACTTGAATTAGTTCACGAGAGTGGTTGAAAGGTGGAAATAGAAATAATTAAAATTTTTGTTTTTAAAAAACATTTATATTTTATTATTTAAAACTAAAGTATTCTTCTGCGAACTTCACTCAAATGGTCTGATCTATAATTAAAAGTATAAACTTGATAGTCTTCCTGAGATCCTCAGACCACCCTAGAGCTTCATCGTCAAGTCATTGGGGTTTGGCCAAATTTTCTTCCTAATGTCCTCCAGCTCAGGGCATGTTTGAAGAATATATTCTGTATTTTGGTTCCATGTTGTGACCCGTTGTGAGTATAAAGAGTAAAACTTTCTCTTTCTTGCTCATTTCATTATAGTCATCTTGAGGATTGTAATTTGTCGTAAAGTAGCTTTATTTATAGAGATGGACCCCTGAAGAGTTTGAGAGTTTGCTTGAGGATGCCACTCCTTCCTTTGGTAGCTGGTCACATATTTCATTCCAATGTGAACAGCAGACTCCTGGGATCCACTGGAGTTTTGTATTCCTTTCTACTAGAGTTAAAGTTTCAATTTCTCCTGCTAGAAAGGGGTGTATTTGCACCTGAGGGACTGAAGTATGCCGCATCTGACAAATTTAGTTTTGGAGTTTAGGTTCATTTTTAGTCGCCTCATTATTCTGCTACCCTATACCATCACTAAAAGATCTATTCGTATCATATGAGTCTTATCTATTCGATCAGTTCAGAATATTCGGGTGGGAGTCATCAATCACTAAAAACATGAATTAGTTCTCGAGAGTAATTGAAAGGTGAAAATACAAATAATTAAAATTTATGTTTTTAAAAATCATTTATATTTTCATTTGAAATATATGAGAAAAATACGGATATCCAAGTAATCTTGTCGAAAAGTTGCCTGAATGCTCGATTTTAAGAATGTCTCATATATTAACTGATTCAGGGTTGTCCAGAAGTTGCGCCATCGTAATTTTTTAGAGGGCATATTTTTGAGAGGCTTAAATTATTGAAGGGGCTCATTAAACGGAATTATTAATTTTTGGATGGAACCATATTTTTATATGGTTCGATTTGGAGGAACTTTCCAAGCAAGGTCTATTCAATGGAATAGACACAGCGAGTGTAACTTTACTAATTTTTCAACTCTACATACTAATATAATCCCAAATCATCTTTTCCAGGTAAGGACTAAGATGCTTGATTATGCCGTTAAACTGGCCCAACACGTAGGATACGAAAACGCAGGTACAGTAGAGTTCTTGGTGGACCAGCAAGGTAACTTCTACTTCATCGAGGTCAACGCTAGGCTCCAGGTAGAGCACACCGTCACAGAAGAGATCACTGGGTAAGGATATCATAATTAGTACTTTTTTTTTTTTTTTTATGTTGGTTTTAAAGACCTTGTATATATTTTTCCCGCATTCAGTTTTCTCTATTTTTGCCCATCTTGTTCTATTTCTTGGCATTTATGTGCATGCTGCTCTGCAGCATATTTTTGATCGGATCTACTTTACCTGGTTTATGGTATTGATTGTTGTGTTAAGCCTTCTTGATGTATTACTTCGAGCTGTATGCTCCACCCATCTTAACCTCCATACCTTCATATCATGAGATATCGATTCACCAGACCTTTATAGGTCCTTCTCCTCCATGTATTATAGTACTCTAATCCAAAATTACTTCAGTTATCTTTCATAATTAATATAATTTATTAAATTATATTACTCCCACTACATTGCTTATTAGCATTACTACTTCTAGAATTTTCATCCCTTGCATATCAATATTTATATTTAAATGAAAAGTGAATTTCAATCACTGACATCTTGCTGGCTGTATCACAAAGAAAAAAGAAGTAAATCCCTTGCAATAAAGCCGAAATTTTAATTGGTAGTTTATTTTGTGCTGTATATGTGGAAGACTGGTTTTGGAATAAATTGTGCTTTAAGTGGTTAAAAATGATCACTTAAAAATCTTAAAAACAAAAATTGTTTTCCAAATAATTCGAAACCTATACGTTACCGGAGAAATTATAGGCACTTATTTTAAAGATAATTAAATTCTCCATAAAATTATATATATTATATCTGAATATATAATTGATCTCTTCTATATCCTGGAATATGGTTACTTGATCATCAGCAAACATTAGATTAATGATGTATAAATCTTCCCCAATGGAATTCTCATTTTCCCACATTTCCTTTTCCAGTCCTTGAGAGCAACATCTACATAGATTTGGAAAAGAGTAGGAGAAAAGCATTATCCCTGCAAAAGTTCTTTTTGAAATCTGGATTTTTATAGAGTTAACCCTAATTTAATAGTCATAGAGTTAACCCTAGTATATTTCTTTATTATGGCCTCTGTTAATGTTGCCAAATGTGAGGCCAAGATGAGTCTTGGTCTTACGCAAGTCTTGCAGTTACCTATTAGCTTATTTCTATAGAGGTATTACTGTAATTTTTCATACAGGGGAAACAACTAAACCTGAATGAAAAATTGGAAGAGTTAAATGCAAAAGTTTATTGGTTATACCAATTCTTTACATATAGTGCCTAAAATTGTCAAGCATTAGTAATTATTTGGCTTAATTTTTATTCACAAAACCATTTTTTTTTTTTACCAGTCTTGCTATTTGTCTTGCAAAGTGCAAAATTAAGACCGATTTTGGATAACATTAGGCGCTGTTATATTTGCTTCCTTGAGAACTTCCCACAATAGCTTCCTTGTAACTGAGTCATATGCGTTATCTTTAGATTTTTTCCAGATGTTTTTCGAAGATCTCTCTCATAGAGAAAATGTGATCGATAAATGATATTCCTGCAGTAAAGCCAATTTGATCCTCTGTACCATCATATTCCCTTTCTAACTTACTTTTGACAATTCATTCCAGAAGTTTCATTCAAGGGTTGGTGGTACAAATACTCTATAATTCGTACATAATTCTTTGTTACCTTTTCTATATATGGGGTATACACTAAATTCATTTCATTCGGTATCTCATTTCCAGCTGAGATCTTGTTTATTAATCCTGTGAGGATTTTTGACACTCATATATCATATTCTATATTCTATATATAGCTTACAATTGTTATCTTTTCACAGAATCGATCTGGTGCAATCTCAAATCAGGATAGCCGAAGGTCACACCTTACCAGAACTTGGCCTCTCCCAGGACAAAATCCTACCTCAAGGGTTCGCCATCCAGTGCAGAGTTACCACCGAGGATCCTGCAAAGAGCTTCCAGCCAGACACAGGAAGGATAGAGGTAGGTTCTTATAACTTGGTTCTTAGTTAACTAGGGTAATGCATAAACATGTAATTCTTTTACTTTTATTTATCTTTTACGTTATTAAAAGTCCACCTAAAAATATAGGCAAAGTCTGAAAACAAAATAAGAGAAAAAAAGAAATTTAGTATTGGACACATTCTTTTATTCTCCTCTTTAATTTTTCAAGCCTAATTTTAACGGTGCCAACCGTTCTTTTGCACATTCGGTCATTTAAGATTGCACTGTTTAACTTCATCTATTTTAATCCGCCATTGACTTAATTAGTAACAAATATTGTTTAACTTCTTTTAAACAAGAAAAAGTAAAATAGGAAAAAAAAGTAATGTCTTTTGTATACAATAATGATCCAAACTACAAAATGAAGACTTCAGAGAGCACCTTTGGACATGATAACCGCCTGTAATCTTGGAGCTATACGTTGCAATTATTTTAAGTCAAACTTTATAAAAATTAATGCTCACTTACTTTCCTCAGATTACTCTACTTTATAGGAGATTGTATATTTCAGTTTTTTCTTGAACCTTTTCTTAATACTGTATATATTGACCATTTTCCTAAACTTCTCGTTCCTTCTCAGGTATTCCGGTCTGGTGAAGGTATGGGTATCCGTTTGGACTCTGCGTCTGCCTTCGCCGGAGCCATCATATCTCCGTACTACGACTCCTTGCTTTGCAAAGTCATTGCACACGCTAGCGATCTTCACGCCTCCTGTGCCAAGATGTCTAGAGCTCTTAGGGAGTTCAGAGTCAGAGGTGTCAAGGTGAGTATATAATAGAGATCATTAAATAACTGTTCAAAAGCATAACCTCTCTTTATTTAGATTGCTATTTCCGATTTCTGCAAACTCCCATTTGTACTAAAATCCCAAAGAAAAAGTCTTTACAGTTACTCAGAAAGGGCTATGAAGTGCTTTGAATATTAAATTTCTACTTAGACTAGGGTCAATATTTAAATTATATAATGAGTAAAACACTGAAAACCACATTCAGGTCAAGAAACCCTCCGAGGCGTCTGAAAAGAAGATGGTCTCGTGATCTATTTATGTAAATATATTATTAGAGTGATTCCAATCGGTAGTTTCTCAACAAGCATTTTCATGTGATTGTATTATTACTCTGTGCACATTTACTAGTTGTCTTTTTTTTTTTATAATACAGTTGTAAATATCAATGAAAAAAAAAAAAGCGTCGAGAAATATATAAACACACTACTTTGTTTTATTTTTTTATTCATTTAAACATTTGAACTTAAATGCTTTACAACCTAGCATACACCCTTATGGAAATATATTTTTTTACTTGTCTACAATAGTCCTTAGTTGCTTAAATTTCATTATCCATTTTATTTTTCCTGGAATTATAATTTCTTTTTACCTTTAAATTGTTGTAATTATTTGTAAATAGTAGTTTTTATTTATTCATTTATTTGTACTTTTATGTAGTAGATAACGCCCGGTATTTACTCCTTTATGTGACATTGTGTGAGGGAATGATAAGGAATATATAGAAATGTGAGGTTGCACGATGAATTGTACTCAATTGTGCAGTGGACAAATTGTTCATTGAAAAGTCTGATATCGATGAACAATCGATGAAGGAGGAAATAGGTGCGGTCAGGTAGCAGCAGCTGGAGAAGGACGCCAGGGGCAGAAGAAGGCACTTGAGGCTGGGACATGGAGGCGAGAAGGCACTCTAGGCCTGGACAGGAAGAATCGAAAAGCGAGAGGCACTGCATTGAAGATTAAGAAGATCAAGCCTAAAGTTATAAGACCATAATAGATTCACTTATTACAGTTGTAAAAATAAATCGTTTTGTTGGACAGGAGTGCAAAGTCATTTATTGATTTAGTTGTCCTATATGCCTCACAATTGAAGAATAACAAACCAGGTGAATCAATTCATTTAAAGTGTATTTACTCAGTCCCACATTTCATACATATATATATATTCTTTCTTCTCACTCAGTGTCACAAAATTATTAGGTTCCCGAATTCCCAACAACAGTTAAACACCCTCAAAAAGAATATATCCAGGGGTTTTGTTTTAATATTCACAAGTGTAATAACCTAGTTCCCCGATAGAAGCGGAAGGCTATTCGCTATTCCCGCCAAAACAACTTATTTACATTTAACTTTTAACAGGTTATTTACACTTATATTAATAATCTTTATTTATATTTTATATTTAAACACCAAATAGATACATTTAAATATTCCTTCATTTAAAAAAATATATATTTCTTTATCCTATATACATATATGTACTGTTATATGAGGAAAAATAACTATGGGATATTGTGTCATGTCCGTAATCTCAATGTGAATAAATTAATTTTCATTTTCTTTCAATCAATTTCTTATTTTTTTATTTTCATTGATTCATGAATCAATATGATCTTTCTGTGAATGAAATTGTCATTTATACACCTTCATTTCCAGACCAACATCCCATTCTTGCTGAATGTGATGGATAACCAGAAGTTCATCAATGGAGCTGTGGACACCTACTTCATTGATGAGAACCCACAACTGTTCACTCTGGTGCCTTCCCAGAACAGAGCTCAGAAATTGCTCAACTACCTTGGCAATGTCTTGGTCAACGGTCCATCGACTCCACTCGCCACCAAGCTCCCTCCGTCCGATATAGACCCTCATGTACCCGCCGTACCTCTTGGTGAGTGATTAAATTCCTTAAGAGCACTGGACTTGGTCGATTTGTCATAAATAATTACTAAAATACAGTAATTTTGCTTACTTGCTTTGGAAATATGCACCTAAAAAAACTTTGTAATGTATTAGAAATGGTGTGGTTTTTTTTTTTTTGCTTAATAATCAAATACAAAACAGTAAATTTTGTGTATATTTAGCTACTGCAGTAGTATTTTCAAGGGCATTTAATGTTCTTATATGTGGTGTCTTCAAGTAACATATATACTTTAATGATTTATTCAACTTCAATGGCGTTTCAAGCTAATTTGCTCATTCTCAAGTCATCTACAACAACAATTAACAAACATAATTGACAACAATGATCACTCATTATCTAGTCATATAAAAAGTGAGAACTAACCAAAAATTCAAACCAATACATTGTTGGTTTTTAACCATTAACATAGCAGTTGAATAAATCTTTAAAGTATAAGGTCTTACATATTCCTTGAAGACACCACAAATAAGTAAATTTTGTTTTAAAAACTATTGGGCTGTGACATAAGTTTAAAATATTTTCAACTAATAAATTTAAAAATACCTTTAGATGATTGTAATCAACTTTAACAAAATAAAAAAATGGGTTTTACATAACTTTTTTTTCATTCATCTCAATAGAGATGGGTAAAACCAGAATTTTCCATGACACATAATTGTTCATGATTCACTATGTGGTTATTGTGTCTCAATAAAATGGAGCAAACTCTTTTCCACACTATACCACCTCCAAAAATATTATATCTACCTTTTAATACCTATAATAACTACCAAACTTTTTTCAAACACTGTTACTGGCTCAGTGAAACAAGTTTGTAATTCCACTTATCTTAATATCTCTGATGATAGCCAACTTTTTGGACAAGTAAAATTTAAAATAATATATTTACTAGTAACGTAAATAAACTCAGCTCCTCACTAGTTGACATTTATACATTGCTGACCTTTCACTATTCCATAATTCAATAGTTTCTCTGTCTAAATTTATGATCTCTATTAATCCTGCATTTTATTTTGGTATAAAAAATAAGCACTATTAGAAATCGAGCACATTATTAATTTTAAAAGAAATAAAAAAAATAGTTTAGAGTTATTTAAAAGAAAAAAAAGAAAGAACAGAAGAAAGAATGTGAAGACATTAAATATCTCCATGAAACAATGTCACAGCTCAATATTTCTCTCATTTTTTTTCTTTATCACTTCTTCAAAATTTTATAATCAAATACATAATTACATATTTTATTTTCTTAATTTACAATTTTATTTATTATACAGCAGAAGCTTGTAATTTATGCCTTCTCTAAATTTCTTTTTAACAATTTTTTAAAATGTTGGAGAAATGAAAAATAATATATTTATTATTTAAATGTGTATTCATATTTGATTTTTTGAATGGATTAGTAACAAGTCACTGACTAAAAATAATGACAAAAAATTTATTTTTGGAGTTCTTAGGAATAATTAGAGTAGTTCTAACCAGTTTCATGATGACAAATAGTTATTATCATGGATGAGAATAACTTTTCCTGATCTATAGAAAATACGCAAAGTGTTAAATACATATGCTTCCAAAAATAACAAAGTAATCTTGCTCTCTTCCATCTTTTCAGGCTAATTTTTCTTTGGTAATCGATTAAAAAACTGGTTATTTCAAATTAACAGTTTAACATTAAGAACAGTTTTAAGGTAATTCTGAGCTCCAAATTATTTATATATTTTTCCATCCTTCATTAGCGGGACTACAAAATTTATTCCATTTACTAAATAAGAAGCACTTTTCATGAATTACAGGCATTCTGCTGTAAATGTAAAATATAATTTTCATTTCAGTTACAATTTTTTTTCCAGACTAGAATAATTTTATTTCATTATTTTAAAAAACATTACATAATTATATAATGAAAAAATAATTAACTTTAACGGAAGCCTAGGTAAATTTTGATGTAGCTATTCCATATTATGAATCATTAATCATGGATTTTGTTGTGTTCTAAAATTTTATATAATTTAATTTGTATGTGTAATATATGTAGTTCCATCATTTATTAAAAACATGGCAGCTCCCTTAAAAGACATAGAAAGCTATTTCCTTTATGGTTATGTATTTATGTAAATATGTCTGTATATCATTTGATTTTTTTAGATAAATATTTTTATACTTTGGTGTGTTGTGGTGTTGTTTATAGGTTTTAAATGCATGTTGTTTGTTTTTTGTTATTTTTTTTCATAAATGGTGAAGGAATATTTTGATTACCTGGCAAATTTAGTATTTTTCTGCGATATTCAATGAAAAATCTTATATATGGAAGTCTGTCTTAAGTTCTTGTTTTTTGTTGTTTTTTTCTATATATTTTTGTCTCTTCAGGTCTTTTAGTTGTTTTTTTCTATTCATTTACCATCATGAAAAAAAAAATTATTTTATTTCAACAATTTCTGTTATCTTTTGGAAAATAGAAAATAAAATTGAATCATATAATTCTGATATCGCTAAAATGATATAATTAGATGATTTATAGCTCATATAACAAAGAAAATGTCTTTACAATTTTTGTTGATCTATTTGACGGATTTACAAGTTGTTTTAAAACACGTTCATGGTGTATATTTTTCTTTAAGGTAAGAAAAAAATTTTAAAAATCGAATTTTCAAATTTTATAAAAATTACATTTTTTGATCCAAGATACTTAACATCTTACCTTGATCACTCAGAGTATCTATTTTTTCTGTTTTTCAGAATGACATGTTTCTTTTTGTTTCTTTATTTAACTTTATCAAAGTTATTTTTTTTTTTATTATTTATTATATTAGACTGTGGGTGGTATGTCTTTTGTTTTTGTTTGTTGTAAGATGGGCAAGTTCTTGAATGTAGCAATGAGCTAATTGACGGTTCCGTTTTGCTCAGTTTAGTGATGGCTCCGATGCCATCAATGAACTCTACACTAAGTTTAGGAACTTGTCCTATCCTTCAGGGTCAATAATGTTTGCCAATAATGGAAAGGTTGTCAGAAATATTCTGTTGTCTTCTGATCTTGTTTGTTTTTTTTGTTTTTTTTTTCAATCATCTGCTATGTGTTATGTTGAAATAATTTATTTCATTCAATAACAGAAACCCTTGTTGTTTAATTATCTATATTTATTTGTATAATTGGTCATAAATTAATGGATATTAATATTACTTAATATCTGTTTCAGATAAGGACAGTTATGTTAACCATAAAGGTAATACATTTTATAGTGCTGTAGAATTGAAGCACGCTGTCCTTGATGTATTTTTTTTCCTTCGTTTGTTGCTGTTAATAATTTGCTGATTGGCTCCGATTTCTTTTTTATTTTTTTTTTTTTTTGTTTAGATTTTATTGTTTTTTATATGCTTAGTTTTTATCAGTTTTCTTTTCTTTTCTTTTTTTACATATATAATCCCACTATGTGCAGATTTATCAAGAAAAGAGGATGGTGAAATAGTAGGTGAGATATTGTTTCTGAATATTTTTTCATGTGATTTCATGTTCTACATTTTATTTTATGTGTAATTTTTAATTTAACTTTAAATGTAATCAAATGACTTCAACAATCTAAATAAAATAATTGTCTTTTATGAATTTATGCATATAAATACATTTAGATATAGTATGATATGAATTAAGAATCGGACACTCAAGAATAACACATAAGTATCTTATGGCTAAGGGGATACAACCTCAGTATATTTTCTGTGGTGTACATTTAACGATGTCGCATATCTTAACAGAGTGTTTATCATATGAAGCTCATTGGAATGAAGTTGAGTCAGACGTTGATATCAGTACTATTTTTAAAAACAGCATGGAGATTGCTAAAATTGCTAAAAATTGTTTTATTTCTTTAAAACTCACTTATAATACAAAATTTAATTATGATACATTATTGATGGTTCAGTATTTTTCTTTAAAACATTAGTTTTTCAATTTAATATATTTATGATTTTTGTAAATCATTACATTTTATCCATCTATAAACCACGTAATAAAAAATGCAAAAGAGACTACCACATTATCATTTGTTAAAAAAAAGGAAATATATAAATTTAAATATTGTTATCCCTTTTTCCTTAAAGAAAACATTTAAATTTTTCTTTAATCAATACTTATCAATTATTTAATATGGTAAAATTTATGAAGTGAAATTTCCACATAGATGAGATTTATTTATTTACCTGTGCCTTAACCTAATCTACACTTAAGTATTGACAAAATTGTCAAGTTATCAATAATTAACTAATAAATGTTCATAATTTCACAACATAGACAATACTGAGACCTAAATTTGGATTGGCACAGATCATTTTTTCCTTTAATCTAATGATCTATTATTTTAAGAGAAATTTTAATAATTCTGTATTAATTTTTAATATCCCTTATCCGCCCAGTTATTTTGGATTTTACTTCATTGAAGTGCAATATTTACAGATATAATATTGAATTATCTGAATTACCAATCAAAAACTCAATAATAGAGAAATAAAGTCTGTTGAGGCTTTTTTTTTATATTTAATTTTTAATGAATGTATTTATATGCATAAAGAGTTATTGGTGTCATATTATAATTATTATGAAATATAGTCCATTAACAGATCACGGAACACTAAGGTAAAATGCTTTTAATTGTGATGGTTGTACCTAGAACTGTATTTAGATAAGCATGATAATGGGTGGTGATTTTGCATGTTTGGAGCATGAATAAAAAAATTTTATTTTTTTGTAATTAGTCCAACATTTGTGAAAAAAAATTCATTCAAAAAACATTTACATTTAGTTAATATTTCATAGTAATGTAATTGCATAGAATTTCTTGATAATTTACAAAATTCCAGATTACTTAAAGTTAAATATTTCATTTTAAGTAATAAAGATTGATTGTGTGGGTGTTGCTTCATATAAACCATGATGACCAGAGGTTGCTGTAAAATGACTCAGTTTTGAAAGAACTGTGTAGCTTATATAAAAAAAAAGTTGCTGGATAATCTTTGAACTTATCTACATGGTGAGGAATTCTGTACATCTAACTAACACACATGTTATTATGGCAGACTCTTAGGGTTTTTTTTTTTTTTATTTAAGAAATGGCATGTATCATTTTGTCAGTTTTGAGCTTAGAATGTTTCTGAGTATATTTTTCATAAATGCATCTCATAATGCAGAAAAAAACATATGATATAAATAGTTTACAGATCGATTATTTACTCCATAACTTTTTGTAGTTTCTTATCTATTAAAATTAATTTTTTTTTTTTTACTTAAAATCTTGAAAATATCACGTGTCATTTCTGAAATCTCTAACCAATTCAATGAAGTTTATTTAGAAATTTTTTTTATATAACTATTTTATTTTTAAAATCATCATAAAATGTTAACTTTGATGTTAATGCTGATTGGTATAATGTTCGTAAAAGTATGAAATAATCACATAACTGTCAAATCCAAACTTTTCAGGAAATACCAAAACAAAATATTCAAACTTTTTTGTTATATTGTTTTTGTTTTATTTTATCAAGTGAAAACAATTGAAAATCAATTGGCGTGCTTAAATTTTATGCAAAAATGAAATAACCCAATCAATAATCAAAACCTTCATTTATTAACAAATTTTTTTAATTAATTGACATTACTTGAGGAGTTACTTAGTGGAGTACTTACTAAAACTTTGTCAGAGAGCTACTTCATTTATTTATTTGTATCTGGAATATTAATAATAATATAATTACTGAATAGGATATGGATAGTATATTTCCTGAGGTTTTTCTTCTCAATTTTATATACTACAGTTAGATATGTACTTAGCAGTTAGATATATACTGGACTATATTAATTAAATAAAATTATTATTTGATTATTTTGAGATTAAGTAGGGTAGGGTCCATTACTCAGACTTATAGCTATATTTAAACTCAGTAGTGTTATAAATCTGCAAAATAGGGCCTTCACACATTCTTTAATTTTTTAGGTTAAAATAGCCTTTTATTAAGGTATCTTCTCATGGTATTTTATTATGTTATATTTATAAAAAAAGTGTTCTTTACTGGAAATTACCAGTCATAATCAATGATATAGATAAATTGAAGCGTGATGATTCATTCTCATTCTACAATATCTTTTCATAGCGAATTTGCTACGTATTTAAAGTACATATATCAATTGTTGATTAAACTTGATCCATTAGTCATATACTCCATAACAGTTCTTCCCAAAGAATTTGTTATAATCCTCCAATTTATCCAGAATAAAAACCTCTAAAATTTTTTTTTTTTTCTGTCATTAAAGTTATGAATTTCAATGAAAATGATATATATATATTATTATTATTAACAAGTATGTAAACAGTGACAAAGAAATCACATATTTTCATTGAAATGTGATTTGCGGAAAAAAGCTCTCTTGGCCCTTGTTTTATTCTGGTTTATATCTGACTATTAGTCATTAGCCGAGGTATTTGAATTTGTCTTTTCTTGGGAACATTGTAATATAAAAAATTAAATTTGCATGCATTCTGCAATAATAATGATTCTTATACAACTATTGTAGAAATCTTATTTATTTAATTAAATCTTCTTTAATGCCTTTCTAAAGTATTAAAATACAAATTTTATTTTCCCCACTAGTTTCTGATCCCCCTGCGGGTCTCAGACAGATTTTCAAAGAAAAGGGACCTGAAGCTTTTGCTAAAGCAGTTAGAGAACATCCTGGACTTTTGTTGATGGACACAACATTCAGAGATGCCCATCAATCCTTACTTGCTACCAGGATCAGATCTAGAGACATCCTCAAGATATCTCCTTACGTGGCCCATAAGTTCAACAATCTTTATGCCCTTGAGAACTGGGGTGGAGCTACATTTGATGTCGCCTTGAGGTAATTATTGGATTCTTAAATATTTTTAAATTATTGATTATTGTAAATTCTGTATATATATATATATATATATATATATATATATATATATATATATATATATATATATTTATATATATGTGGAGAAAGAGTGTGTTAATTTATTTTATTAATCACACTTTTTAAATAGATAATTTCTTTCAAATAAAGCTTTACTCTGAGCAGTGATTGAATGCTATTGATTTGAGAGTATTGTTGGGTGAAGATTAATTAAACTTGTTAGTCCTATAAAAAAAATATAAATAATTAATTAGAACACCAAATTGAAGGTTTACAAATTGGTATTTCCCCCTATCTAACTTATTCCTCCGAACCATAGTCAATAAGCATAGGAGAATAATACAAGCATCTGTAATGAGATTCTTTAGAATGATAGAAAGGAAAATCAAAAGGGACTAATAAAACCATAAGACCTAACCTCAGGATCGAACCAGCAGAGAAAGTTGTTGAACACTGTCTATGGTGATTTGAGCATATATTTGTAGATGTTTTAAGATTGTCTAGCTTGGATGACATACGAGGCAAAAATCAATGAGAGAAACTCCAGAGGAAGACCCTGACACACCGGGGAAAGATGAGTACTAGAAAGCATCACAATGAAAGGTCTGGAATAGAACAGGAGAAGAGAACTGGTAGATATTCATGGAACTTGATCCAGGCTATTTAAAAAGACACCTCTTACTACATAAGCGGTAGGCGAGGAATGATTTTGATTATAAAAAAATAATTTAAAACCTAACAAATGTTTTTAGAGATTTATGACCTGTCACAGACATTAATACAAATAGGAAGGTGAAAATAATATAAATATAAGTATAGAATATATAATATAAGTATATAAATATACTTCTGATGCTAGAATATTTGTGTTTAAAATAAAAAACACGATATATAATTGCAATCCTAATTAGAGCATGCTTCTTTTTTAAAAATTTGGTAAAAAGATAAGTTTTTGTGATATCGACTATGAACTTTACGAAATATTTAATGAATGACATCCTACTCCATTCTAATTTATTCCAAAAAAATGAAAAAAATTGAACTTATTTTTTCAATTATTTTCTTTTCATTTGTCCACTCTCTCTTTATTTCACTAAGGTTCGATAAATTAGTTTAGAACAGGATAATGTCATTTATTAAATATTTTACAAAACTACATAGTAATATCAAATAAAATTTATCATTTTTACCCAATGTTGAAAAAAAGGAGCAAGTTCTCATTAGGATTTCTATTGCATGTTATTTTTTAGTATATTCAATGCAAACATTATAGCATTGAATGTATGTGGCAGGCCCTAAAATTCTGAATATATTTGTGAGATTTTTAAAATTATTTTTTCAACATAATCATTACTCATCTACCGCTCATGAAGATGCCTTTCCTATTTTTCTGTTAGTAAAAATAATCTTTGATGGTTATGATACGATGGTAGTAAAGGTTAATTGAAGTGACTGAAAAATCATGATTTAGTTAATTACATCAAAGCCGGTAGGCTGTGATAGGCAAGTCGTATTGCTATAATGAACGAAGAGAGACTTCAGAAGAAGATGCTGGACATGGTAATCATTGAAAAAAACAGAAAAAGAGCCGGACTCAGGAGCCGCTGGAAGGACGAGATAGCAAGAGATGCTGCAAAGCTGGGTGTTATAAGTTGGAGGAATGCTAGCAATGACCATGACAGATGGAGGGATATAGACCGGAAGACCAAGAGTGACAAAGACCTGTAGAGACAGGGAGTAAGTAAAGTAGTAAAGCTGAAATCACTCAACACTGAATACAACTTAGTAATAATTTCAACTCATTTTAATATTTTTTATATTCTTAAGAAAATTATTATTTTGTACGTTTTGCATTTTGGATCATTGGCATAAGCTTTTGAATTATATAGAATATTGGATGCGTAAGATGAGTTTATAACCTCCAATATTAATTTTTCAATTTAGGTGGCAAAACAATTCCAAATTGCATGACTTGCAGTAAACATAATGAAAGCACATCAAGACAATTAATTTTATTTATTTCACTCATAAATATAATGTTTTTTTTAATTTTCATTACTATTGTTTATGGTGAAAGTTATTTTTTATTGTATTATAAGGGAATCTAAATCATAAATAGCATAACAAATGTAAAGCAATGTTTTCTTTAATGCATGAATAATAAAGTTGTTTCTTTATTTCTAAACATTGTCTTCTTCAGGTTCTTACATGAGTGCCCATGGGAAAGGTTAGAAGACATGAGAAAACTCATCCCTAACATCCCATTCCAGATGTTGTTGAGAGGTGCTAACGCTGTTGGATACACCAACTATCCAGACAATGTTGTACACAAGTATGTGTTCAGTCATAATCTTATATTTTATTTACCAAGATTAATACATAATTAATAACAACATTAAATACATTGTAGTCCAATCTACTAATTCCTCTCAGTAAATAAAAGAAAAACCAACATTAATTTTTCTTTGGATGAATTATTATCGTGGTGAATTTATAGTGTAAATCATTTTGAAGGATTATTCAAACACAGCAGTTTATTTTGGAGAAGGGTAGAAGTTAGAAGTACGAGATCGGGTGGGTCAGAATTTGATGGAATATTTAAATTGCTCTGTAGTAGATAGGATGGGCGCTGATTTCTGATAAACTGATACATATAATCGAATACGTCTTCTATTCAACAGGAAGGTCTTAAGGAAATATTGACACCTGTGAAATGGGTAAAGACACATTAGCTTGATATAATAATAATTTTTTTGCATATCTCTAGATACCCCGAAAACAAATCTAACTAAGCCGTTTAAGTCTTGCTTCAATTTCGCCTGTGAGTCCACCATACACCAGATAGATGTAGTTTAAGTGAGGGAAACAAAACTAGGACTTGTCGGATTTTACACAGGAGGATTGTTTAAAGGTTGATATGATCTGACGGGTCATAATCTGTTGTTTGCTGACATATGTTGTTTCTATGAGAAGATTTGGTCAAAGGTAACTCCAAGGTTTTTAACAGAGGTGTGGAATGAGGTAGTAGTGTTGTTCAGAGTAAGTTAAGGCTGTCTTGGGAAGGATTTATGGAAAAGAGGGTCTAATCATGATGGCTTTGGTATTCTCGGCATTTAGGGTAAGCTTATAGGGAGAGGCCCATGTGGTTATTTCGTTGATATGTATAACTGTACCTGCAAGCGAAATCGTGCCCGCCTAACCAAACCTATAAGTGTGATCATGGCAGCCAGTAACTGCACTACAAAGCTTTGCTGTTCAACGAGTTTTTATACAATATTTAATTTTATATATATAATAAGTAGTTAATTGGGAATATAATCATCTTTCTTTAAAAATAGTCATTTTTTTAATATAGCATTTAAATCATAATTTCTGGTTAATCTTAATCATTATTTCTTCCTTGAAGAATGAAATTTCTAATGGAAAAGTTGAAAATTTTGTATTCAACTTATCTAATCACCAGTTACATGGTCATATAGCTGTGTCTTATTGTATTTTTTTCATATTGAAATTAAACTTATTCGACTATTTATGTATACTAGCGTTCACCCAGTGGTCGAAATTCGACCATAACCATTAAAAATTTGTGAAAAACATAATTAAATAAAAAATAAATTCAGTAAATAAAGAGTAAATCATGGTTCTAACATCCTCATTTATTAATATAAACAAAATTTCAATTTCAATTAAAAATCAAGCTTAAACTACTTGAAATTATTTATAAGTAATATAAAATAGATTCATTCAAAATATTTAATTTCCCTTTTAATTTATCTGTGTTATTATCACAATAAATTAATGTTATGATTAAGCAAGTAAAAAATAAATTTAAATTAGCAATTTCAACTGAGTTTAAATCCATTTTTATGCAGAACTTCTCTGTAAACAATGTTCCAAAACTTTGAAGCTGCAGTTTTATTATGGTCATAGCAAATGCAGTTATTAATAAGAACATTGTTCTTTGAAATTTGAATAGAAGTACTGTGTCAGAAAATATTAAATTAATGCTTGGAATTAAAAATTTTTTATTTCAAGTTGCTCCCGTCAGTACTTCACTCTCATTCATGTTCCATTAACTAATGCTTGTGCAGTATTTAAGTTAAGAATGAGTATATCTATAAAATTTGTTTTTAAATTTAATTTATGAGGTAACATTCCTCTAACATTCAATGATATCCTCTCTTCAAATAATAGTCCCGGTTACTTCATTAGATGTAAAGTTTTTGTTTTATCAAAAACCAAAATAAAAAAAATCGACTTTGCAAAAGAAAAAGTACTGTTTAAAACGATGTATCTCTGCAACAAATAGTCCGATTTCTATGATTTTTTTTTTTAACAAACTACTATTTATATTTGTATTTACAAATTATTCCATATTTTTATTTATAGATAATACTAAAGCTCGTCAATAGCTATTAAACAAAAAAAGAAGGAAGAAAATCCGTTGAATAATAGAGGAGAGGAGAATAAATGGCTGAACCGTTTTGTGTTTGCCTATTTATATAATGATAATATATATTTTTATTTTAGATTCTGTGAACAAGCTGTCATATCAGGTATGGACATATTCCGGGTCTTCGATTCTCTGAACTACCTGCCAAATCTGATCCTTGGAATGGAGGCTGCTGGTAAAGCAGGAGGTATTGTCGAAGCAGCTATCTCGTACACCGGTGATGTATCAGATCCAAAAAGAACAAAATATGACCTCAACTACTACACTAATCTAGCAACTGAATTAGTTAAAGCCGGAACTCATGTCTTGTCTATTAAGGTATCATAATCATTATTTTAATTGCTATAATATTTCATATAAAAAATAGTAATGGAGTTATTAATTTTATTTAACAAAATTTTATTTATTTCAGAATAATAAATTTATTTTAGAAATTTTAATTATCACAAGCAAAATAAATAGGCTATAATGAAGTAAGATATCATCTGGGATAATGATATAAAATTTTCAATATTCTATACTAGAGGTCTCCAAACGTTTTGGCTCACGGGCCACATTGAGACCGCCACTAAGTCCCACGAGCCCTATTAAGACCTTCTAGGTCCCACAGGCCATGGTTTGAATGAAAAACAATATCCTGTTTTATAAATGAAACTTCATCTGTGAAATTATCTTTCTAAAAGAAATAACTTATGCAATAAATGTTGTAGTAATCTTATGTTTGAGCGATTTACTAAATTTCAATTTTTTTTTAATAATGTTTAAAATTATATCATGTAATCGCTAAAACTTTTGCAAACCAGACTGAAAGCTTTTGTAGACCTTCCACTGCTGGATTCGGCCCACAGACCCTAGTTTGGAGATCTCTGGTATAAACTATTTGACCCAACATTTCAACTCACTTTGTAGGTCAAAAATATCAAGGCTAAAAATAGATACAAACAAAGTTTTGTTTATATTTATACTTACTGCTTGTTAAATTAAATTGTTAGATTGATTTTTTTTTATTCCTTTTGGATTAACTGGATGTTATCAGGATCCAGATTAGCTGGATTTTTTTGTAGATTAAATGAAATAAATATTTAAATTATTTTTATTTGATGTGAATATTACTCTTTTTTAGGATATGGCTGGCCTCTTGAAGCCTAAGGCTGCCAAGCTGTTGGTTTCCGCAATCAGGGACAAGCACCCCGACGTACCCATCCACATCCATACCCATGACACTAGTGGAGCTGGTGTTGCTGCAATGTTGGCCTGCGCTGAGGCCGGTGCTGATGTTGTTGACGTTGCTGTTGATTCCATGTCAGGTTTAACTTCTCAGCCTTCAATGGGAGCAGTTGTTGCCTCCTTAGAAGGAACACCACTTGATACAGGTTAGAGACATTAATTTGGTTTATGTTTAATTTTCATTTGATGCATAAACATAGATATGTTAAAAAAAAAAAAAAATGAACAAATAAGTGTTTCAAGAAATGGAGACTAATTATGGACACTAGAGATCAGAATGTTATGAGACTATATTCTTTAAAAATATGTGTATATCATCTCAAAATCAGCTTTGATTTATTTAATTTCTTTAAAATATATTTTTTCTTCAATCATTTGCTGATAGGCCTTATTTATAAATTAAAGACTATGTAAATCATTACTATATGGATTATATTTCCAAGTATATATTCCAAATGATAACTTTTTTTTTTGCTTGGGTGCAATGATTCATTTTCTTTATCTTAATTAATCATCAAGAACATGGGTTTATGAAGTCTCTAATTGGTCACCATATTTGAAACAAAGTAGTGAATGATATTGTAAATTTCCTAGGATCATCCTAGGGTTACCTTCTTATCAAAATCACAATTTTGGCGTAAAATCTTAAAAAAATTGACCCAATAGTCTTGGAAAACAGCTGTGCTTGAAAAGTGGTGTGTGAAGCCTCTATTGGAAAGGTAAGGGCAGAGGTAATGTCGACTTTGGAATATCATGTGGGGGTAACTTACAACTTTTGTGGAGTTAATATGCATTCAATATTAATGCTAAATATAAAATAAAAACTTATGCTGGTAAACTAGGAGGAAAATCATGGATAATGGAAAAACAATTTTTTTTTATTCGATTTTTAGATTCTAGTTATCTTTGTATGTTAAATTCCAAATTTATGGAGTTGTTAATTTTTTTTTCTTGTTTGCTTATTAAGGATTATTATTGAAAATAATAAAGTTATAAGTGGAACATATCTCTTTCAAAAGTTAACAACAATTTAAATTGGACCGGCAAATCTAGTTATAAGTTGAGGTTAAGAATATATGTCCCTTAATCTTCATTTATAATAGAAAAATTTTCCTATTTCCTTTTATTCAGGTGTCCACTTAAGTAACGTCTCAGAATACTCTGCCTATTGGGAACAGACCAGGACTTTGTACGCACCTTTCGAGTGCACAGTGACAATGAAATCTGGAAATGCTGATGTCTACCTTAATGAAATTCCCGGAGGTCAATATACAAATCTCCAGTTCCAAGCATTTTCACTCGGTCTTGGTGACTTCTTTGAGGATGTTAAGAAAGCTTATAGGGAAGCCAATCTTCTCCTTGGAGACATCATAAAGGTAATGTATTAGGGATTATTTTTTGTGAAATACTCATTTATAAAAGTTTCTAATTATGTTAAATATTTTTATGTTGGTTCTTTAATTTTTTTTTAAATTCTTATTAAATACTTATATAATTTTAAAATAGGTCACACCTTCCTCTAAAGTTGTTGGAGATCTGGCACAGTTCATGGTCCAGAACAAGCTAACTAGTGCAGAAGTTATGCAGAGGGCGGAAGAACTCAGCTTCCCCAAGTCTGTTGTTGAGTTTCTTCAAGGAGCTATTGGAGAGCCCTACCAAGGATTTCCTGAACCATTCAGGTCTAAGGTAACTATTTTTCCCTCATATATTACAACATTATGACTTTTGTCTATAATGAAACAAAACTTATACTGTTAATACAATTTATTAATTATCAGGTTTAAGGTAACTAATTTTTACTTTCACTTACCTATATATATAATATATAGTAAGGGTAAGTATTGCTGAAAATTTTCGAATCTGAGTTTTCAATGGAAATACACGTTTTGAAGTCCCATGAGTCCAAATAACCAAGTCCCGCGTGTGCGTATGTATGTGAACAGGCTATCTCAAAAACTAAATTGCGCATTTGAGTTTTTTATAATCCTTGGATGTTACAGCAACATTTTTGTCAAAATCGGCAAACCTGAAGTGGTACTTTATATAACCGATTTAACACATTTTTACAATTTTCTCTCAAAAACGGCTCTAAGGATTTTGATTAAACTCAGTATATCAGTATATTATTAAACAGTTTTTAATATAATGTAGGTTTTATTCTCATTGATGTTCTCTAACAGGGTTCAAATGGCTAATTTTCAATATTAGCTTCCTCTAAAGTACATTTAATTTTTTTATTTCAAATAATTAACCATTTCACATTAATCTTTGATACAAAAAATAGTTATATATAAAATATGGAAGAATTTGATTATTAATGAAAGGAGATATAAGAGAACGTAACGGATAACAATTGTAATGGAAGAACCAAAGGATTATGAGTGCGTCCGAGCTCACCTGAGCTCGCCCAATAGAGCACATACGTAACATGAGCTTAATATAATATGGACTCCGACAATATTAGGTGCATATGCATATGCGGTTTTCATAAATGCTATCGTTGTCTATATAAGGGTATTTAAACAAATAAAAATACCTACATTGAAATGTAAATAAATATAGCATCTGTAATTTTTGCTTTCACTTCGCCTTTGTCTGAAATACTTATTTTTGCTAAGAAAAGGGTGGTAAGTGTAAATTGTGTGATGAGTGCACCTGATTTTTCTTCATATATTACACATTATGATTTTTTTCCATAAAGAAACAAAGCTTATAGTACTTAACTATTCTTAACAAATATTATTTAAGGTTGGCGCCTGGCAAATTAATATTCATAACCCACAAATTTAGATGTTAAATATATTAAAAAAATTACAACTATGCTTCAAGAAATTTATTTATTGTAATTGTCAATTGAATATTACAAAATACATGACAATTTTTTTTTATTCCATCTCTTCATCGCCTTTGGCTATAGATTTTCCCTGGGCCTGGGAGCTTAATGTCAGAGTTAAAAGCTTCTGTCCCCTGGACGTTTTCAGTTTTACAGGTTGCCGGGCAACACGTTTTTCCCATAATTATTAGTCCTCTCGGCCACTCCCTCCTCTCTCTTACTACGTACTTACTTCAGGTTTGAGGAATAAATATGGTTTTGGGGCAGAGGAAGAGCATTTATTAATTGTCATACAGTCCAACATGTCATATTCATTCTATTTATTCATTTTATTAATTGGGTGCTTTTGTTATAGGTTCTGAAGGATATGCCCCGTATTAAGGGAAGGCCAGGCGAAAGCTTGCCTCCTCTAGACTTTAACAAGTTGAAAGCAGAACTGCAAGAACGTCACCCACACGCTACTGACAAAGATGTCATCAGTGCTGCTCTCTACCCCACAGTCACTGAAGATTTCCTCAACTTCAAGCATGAGTTTGGACCTGTTGACAAACTGGATACAAGGGTGTTCCTTATTGGTCCCAAGATTGGAGAAGAACTTGAGGTAATATTTTTGTTTTTATAATTATTTTAATCTGTGCTTATGTCTTATGGCTATAGATTTTGTACAATTAAATTTACCAGAAGTAGCATATAATACTTCAATATATTTATTGCTATTACTTTTAAATTAATTATTCATTATTAAAATGTGGTGTCAGTGATATGAATTGGTTATTTTTAAAGGAAACCTTAATTAATTTTTTTTAAATCGAAATTAATATTGACTCCTTTGTAAAAACACTCAATGAATCTGATGGTACTATTAATTTTTTTTTCAAAGAATGCAGTGATACTTATAAATTTCCTAAGTATTTAAAACAAAAATCATCAAAAGCTTTTTATTTAAATAAAAATTATTGTAAACAAAAAGTTAAATTTTAATAGTTTTTCCCTCCCAATCATACGTTGCAGTCTTTGTAATATTTACTTTTCTTGTTGTTATACTAGCCATTTACTATTGCTCAGAACTTCAGCAAGCTTAATATACCATCTAAAGAAAGCAAAATTTTGATTATTTGACATCCTTATTTTTTAATTACTATTAAAATAATCCATAATTTTAAAAAATAAGTACAACAATTAAAGAATTAATTAATTTATTTTTTAAATATTGTTTTTGATATCACAATTGAAATAGAAAATATAGTTTTCAGAGTTTCCTGAAAAATCATCAATGATGTTTAGGGTTTGTTTTGGAAATAAACAACTCATATAGTATTTATTATTTATTTTGAATGCATATCTCTAGAATAACTGGAACTAATCTGTTCTTTTTTCTGAAAACTACAATTTTTTAAAAATTATATATGTGTGTGTGTTTAACTGCATTTTATTTATTTTTTTAATTTACAGTATTCTTTTTTTTTTTTTTTTTTTGTTTGATTCTATTGATTATGAATAGAGACCGGATTATCATATTACTGCACATTTTATCCGCTTATATTTAAAAATTTCAAACCCGATTTTCTATCTGTTTCATGATTTGTGGAATAACATTGAAATTTGATATTAAAATTTTTTGTGCTGGATTAGATTATTTATAAATATAAATGCTTATGTGTGAGGAAGGTAAATAATTCTGTGATTGGCAATGGTTCAAACTTCATGTTACAAAATAAGTATTAGAAAGAAATTTATTGTTATTGTTTATACTTGAATTCTCTATCATTCTTCAGCAGCTCAGTATCCCTTCAGGTTTTTAAGTGAATGGTGGTAATTCACTTTAATTTCATTATTATTAAAATTTTTTTGTAAAAAAGGATCTAGTCTCTTCTCAAAAATTTAAATTTGTATATCAAATTATCCAGAGATAAAATTTGATGAGAAAGTTGTCTTCTCAGGTGAAAAATTATAGATAGACGCTCATTCTAGAATAGGTAATAAAAAATATTTCTATTAGATAATTAAGTTTATTTGTTTTAAATAGTCTCAAGAATATTATTTTATTGGTAAAAAAAAAAGCACCAATACTAATATCCGTACACTTGTAAATAACAAGTATTACAGTGTATTTTTAAAATTTGGTGGTTTTATCAGGTTTTGATTTATTATTATAATGAATCATAAACAATTATAATATTTTTTACGATTTTGCACATTTTGAGTTTTTTGCAGCCCATCTTCTGGATTTTAACTACATGAAGCTCCGGTTTCTAATTAATGCTGTACTTGCATTTATGTTATACAATGTAATATAATATATAACATACAATTTTTTTTCACATACTTTTGTGTTTCTTACAGGTAACAATTGAAAAAGGTAAAACATTGGCCATCAAATTATTGGCAATGGCTGAAGATCTGACACCTGCAGGAGAGAAAGAAGTGTTCTTCGAGATGAATGGCCAACTTAGGTCTGTCTTTATCAAGGACAAAGAGGGTGCAAAGGTGAGCATAGCTTCATTGTTGTTATTTTAATATTCTACAGCCAAAAAACTTTACAATTTTCTCTAAATCAGCTAAACAATTTTAATTCAACTTGTTATATCGGTGTATAATGAAATAATATTTAATATCAGCTAGGTGTTATTCTTATTGAAATAGTTTTGCAGGGCTTAAATACTGAATTTTCAAAATGGCTTCGTCTGAAGTACCTTTAATTGGAAATAACTACTAAATATTACATATGAAAGAATTCGATAAATAAATAAGAAATGTTTCTATAGATAGAAAAAAAATAGAAAATAAATAGCATTATAGGGGATCAATAAACCTTTTGAAAGCTAAAGATTTTATAAAAATTAATGCGAATATAAAATTTTTTATGGAATCGTGAGGTATTAAAACAAAAACAATCGAGATTCAATGTTTCTCTAATGGATGCTAATAGCAAAGAGAGCCAAGCCAAACATGCCCATGCCGCCATTGGTCTGAACCAGTTCTGCCATCTTTCTTGTTATATTTATTTATGTTTTATAAATTATTTACATTATTAAAATACATATCTCATTTATACAAATAATAAAGTAATTTTCCTCAACAACAATGTTGTAGAAGATTAGGGAATATTACAAAAAACATATAAACTTAATAGATGAGATGGGTGGAAAAGTTTATGATCGTTAATTAAATATGTTACAATGTTTATAATTTATACTTTCAAATTTATTAAATTATTTACAAAATATGATATTTAATAAATCACTCATACAGATTACTACAAATTTTATCGTATTAATTTTTTCTCTTAGAAATTTAATTTAAAAAATGTAAAGTCATTAAAGAAATTTATCTCAATTTATGATAAAATTGGTTTCATTTTTAAAAATTCACCATTTGTTAATTGTGGTTTTTGACCATTTAACCATATCAACTTATTACTTTGTGGTACTAATTTGGGTTAAAATTTAATATTCTTTTATTTATTAAAGGGCAGCTTTTTCACTTGGATTCACTATTCAGGATCTATTAGTGAAAAACCAAATAAGTCTAAAAAAAAAAATCTATGTTTTTTGACTGCAAAAATTTCTCTTGAGGTTGCTCATGTTACCATTTTTGTTTTTTTCATGTTTTATCTATATATGCATGTTAAACAATGAAAACTTCTACCAAAGTTTCCCTGTTTTGATCCTGAACTAATATTTTGAAATCTATTGCTTTAGAATTGTTGTGAAAGTTTATTTTACTTAAAATTACATACATTTTCATAATTTACATTAAACTTTATTTTGCTAAGGCACAGTATCTAGGTTTTGATCTGTTTTTGAAAAAAATTAAATGAAATTCATGCTTTAATATGAAATTTATTAGATTAAAAAATAAATAAATAAAATCATTGGATAAACCAAAAAAATATAATTTATGTTACAGGCTTCTAAAATCAATTATAAAAAGTTCCTAAATTACTATTACAGGAAAATTAATAAAAAACATTGATATTTTTATGCTCATGTAACATGGATGTATGACACTAATATTTTTGAACATCTATATATCTATATTTTTGAAATCTCAAGACATGACCTGGGAGAATTAATAAAAGTCTTAATTTCGCAAATTATTAACATTCGCCTAAGACTTGGTGAATGACTTCATCTTATCGTAACCTATAAATTTTTTATCTACAAAAATTCTTAAAAATGTTGTGTTTTTTCATTAAATCAATTAATTAAATTAGGTACTAAAAACTCAAAATACCAATTTTCTTTCAATTTGATTCATAAGGTAATCTGTTTACAAATTGAAAAAAAGGTGACCTACAAAAATATTGGGCCATTTGGCCTGATAGTCACTCCAAATATCCCAATATTTTTTAAGGCCACTTTTATTCTCGATTTTGTTATAAAATTATTTACGAATAAAGTGGAATGCAAATGGTTGTTGATGAGTTTTTAGTAACTAATTAAATAAACAAAGTTTACTGATCTCCAGATTGAAAACGCCTCAATTCTGAGGATTTTCGTTAATAAAAAAGGTGTAGGTTACGATGAAATGAAGCTATTCACAAAATTTTAAGTGGATGTTAATAATTTGATAAAATGGTGTCTGTACTACAGACTACTAGTTTATACCAAATGTAGTGTGGTAATAAAAAGTTGTGTAATGCTCATCAGATTTTTTAAATTACAAAAAACATATGTTGTTCTACTAATACTTATTTTAGTCCTTGAGTTAATTTCTGTATCATTGTGAAAACTTGTCCTATAACAATTTTTTTTTTCTTGAACTCAAATTAAAATTTCTTTCAGGAGTTGCACATTCACCCTAAGGCTCTGAAGAGTGCTAAAGGACAAGTTGGGGCACCTATGCCAGGAACTGTAATGGAGATCAGGGTTAAGCCTGGCGAAGTCGTCGAGAAGGGAGCACCATTAGTTGTCCTTTCTGCAATGAAGATGGAGATGGTTGTTCAAGCTCCCATTGCCGGCAAAGTAGCGTCACTTGAAGCCACCGTCGGCATGAAATTGGAAGGAGATGATCTCCTCCTCACTATTGAATAAAATAGTTTCGTCGGGTTAAATAAACTGCTTGTAATGTGATTATCTGAAGAAACAGAAGACTTCTTTTTATTTAATTTTACCAAAATATTCAAGTAATTATTTGTTGCTTGTCTTTTAAGCCATTGATAATGTTTATCAATGCATCATTTAAGAAAAGCACTACGAAATATTTGAAAAATACTAATGCAGAATATGTCATATTTTCATCAATTCTCTCTTCTTAGTTTCATAAGCTATTTATAATTAATTTTTTTTCTATCCAATCACTTTATTGAAATTTGGCAAGTTTTATTTCTGTCTAAAAGTTTCATCTTCCTCCAATTTGCCTGTAATTTGATTTGTAAATTTTAGATGTACAATACTTAGTTTTAACACTATTAGTTATGAATGTAATTATAGAATTCCATTCCATTATAGTTAGTTATACCTTCGCAATTGTTTTTAATTAAGTTTTTAATATAGTTTAAATTAAAAATATATATATAAAGTTATACATTTTTAAAAGAGAGGCTGTTGATGTGGAATGCAGTTTTGTAATGAAATTGTACATTCCTTTATTTCTGTTGTAATTATCAAAAATATATATGTAAATGCTGTTGTTAATTATTTGTAGGATGGTAAATTAAACGAATGAACGAAATATAATTAGTTAAATCTAGTCAGTTATTGATTGTATTTGGTTGTTTAAATCTTTTGGTCCAGAGGTTACAGTCTGAATCTGTTAATTATAGTTATTTTTTTTAAAGATTCAAAATGTAACAACTTAAATAATTGTATCAGACCTGTTATATTTTTTCTATTTTAATTTTAATTTCTTTATCTGTTTTACTTTTGTAATAAGGATTGTTTGTTTTGTAAACATGATCTTTGTTATTTACTAAATATATTTTTCTAAGTTTATATAGCCCTATTTTTTCCTCTTAACATAAATAAATAAAAAATTTTTTACTCCCACAATTAATCTTTACACCCTGTGATACAAACTTAATTTAAGACAAATTGAAAGAATAAATACTGTGAAACTTTTCAACAGTATCCTATAGCTTTGTTTGTTGTCTAAGGATGTTTATTTTTTTATAAGTAAAATAGAGGGGATTTCTTTCCTGGAAACCTATGGACATTATAATATGAGATACAAGCAAGTTCAAAGTTATAAAATGAAAATAACCCATCACTTCCAATCCCTGTTCTTTTGTATCTGCTCCAGTTCTTGCTTGCTGAAACTTGTTTTATTCTTAGTTATCTAAGATTCTTATTCCTTTTAGCACCTTTACCCAACTTAAGAAACTCACTGACTTTAAGGATCTTTCAGTAAGTTCTCGATCATATGCAAATACATCCACTCAAACAGATGTATTAATGATAATGTCAGTTTTTTGAAATCTTGAGTCAATTATGACTTTTTCTTAAATTAAGTTGAAGCAAGCATAAGATCATTCAGCCAGCCTGATACCTCTTGAAAAAATAAATTATAGAAAAATGATGATTGTACGTTGCCGCATCGATTTTCAAACTGATTAGCTAGACAAGTTTCAATTCAATTTTCATTTGATATAAACCTACTTCTAAATTAGGAATTTTAATACTAATGTAGACTTGGATTGCTTTGGGTCTAGTGAGTGACTTGGTATCAGAGTTCATTTTGAATTGTAAATCACCAGGCAAACATTGTTATATCAAGACTAAAGGAAAGTCTATCTGAAAAATATTGGCAAATGCTATAGAAGTCCAGCCTTCTAATTTTAACCTTGAGATTTCTGTCTGTACCTATTCATAAAGAAGTCAATATGGAAATGCATGTATTAAAGTAATAAGTTTATTAATTTATGTTAATGAAATTTATTGTACAGTTTTAAAATAATTTTTTGACTGAAAATTTAACTTTAAAAGAAAAGACAGGTATGTTGTTTTTTTCTAATAAAAGATGAGTAGAAAGGGATTTTTATGGAAACTTGGCAAATGAAAACAAATTGTAAATACTGGTAAATGAAAAAATAAATGGTCAAATCCAAAAGTCAGTTTTCATTTCATTTTTCAGAATAAATCTTTTATTGGACCGGAAATACTACATAGCAGAATGAAAAGGAACAATTTCCTTTATGACCATGTTGTTTGTTGTGTTGACAGTTCCTTCTCATCCTCCTACAGCTTTATCGCTTAACAACTGTTCTATTAATTTAAAAAGAATACAAAAGGATGCGTTTTGATGTCTTGGAGAGCATAAACTCTCACTATACTTGATGAGTCTCTTTTTGGTCTGTTGATATGAAATTTGCTGTTTGGTTTGATATATTTGTGATCGCTGTGGTATCTGTTTTTATAATGCTTGAATTGGCAAAACTTTGATGAGTTAAATGCTTAACTGTATTTTAGGGGCTTTTTGTGTCTGGTATTTTCCAATCATAAAAATCAATTGAGAACTTTGTTAGAATAAAGTTATTATTATTATTGAATTGATTATAGATGTAATCTCAAATGATACGGTATCAGTAAATTTCTTTAATAATGTCTATTTGTGCCAAGATAGTTCCAAATTTCCTCGTTATGGTGAGTGGTGGGGGCAGATTAGAAGATTTTATCCGTATGAGCGCCGGTTCACTCAGCGCATTTCAGCACAAGTATCCAAGGAGACAAAACCTGCACTTGAGAGCTCTGAGGTAACAAATGTCTTAAGCTGGCATAAAAATGGTAAGCTGTTTTTGCATAATTCGTTCAACCTATCAATCCATTAAAATACAGTCCACTGCATAAATAAGTAGAATATTGCCTATTAAGAACCCATTAGAGTTTAAATTTGCCTTGCCAAAATTTAAAAAGTAAAACACAAATAAATTAATCTGTTATAATGTATTTTGAGAGTGGAGTATGTCAGTGGTAAGGCCCTGAGTTTCTAATGCTCAAGGTCCCAGGTTCGAATCATGGCTTATGGCAGAAAAATTATTTATTCTGTTTCATAATCCGTGGATCGTCCCAGGTGTCAGGAAACCTTCCTGGGGCACTCCCAGCCTCCATAAAGCAGGTACCCTAAATTAAATTAAGTGGGAAAATCTGGCAGTTGAGCATGATATCGGTCAATCATAACTTTGCACAACCATTGACCAAGAAACAGTACTTTCCCTAAATAGTACTGAACCCAAAACTACAGAAACAGAAAAACTAACAGAAAAAAATCCATTCGAAAACAACAAATCATGTCTCGGGAATTGAGAATCTCTGTTAGATCAATGTTTCACATAGTAAAAAGTGACCTAAGGATGTGTGGATTTCAAAGAATGACAGGACAAAGGATAACCACTTCAGTAAAAAAATTGATAAATTCCCTTTAAAAAAATTGAGTGGATAAATGCAAAGTACGCCTTGGCCATTATACCAATGGTCTTCATCGAATGATTTTGCTTAGCGATGAGAAAATTTAATAATTGAAATAAAATTTAATCGCCAAAATGATTATGTGTACACACACAGCTCTAATGAAGCCCAGGAAGTCATTGGAAGAGTAGAAAGAGGTCATCACCCTTCCTCAGTGATGGTTTGGTGGGGAGTTGGCTTTGATAGCACCACCAAGCTTCATTTTTGTGAAAAAGGAGTAAAAAGCCGCTAAAAACTATCAGGACAATATTTTGGAACCTGTTTTCAAACCTCTAAATGATACTTTGTTTGCTGGAAGTCATTGGTTTGTCCAGCAGGAGATAAGTTTAAAATTTTTATTCATTCATCTAAAATTTGCCATTTCTAAGTTTAAAGCTGAGTAGAATTTATTTACAGGTTTTTTATTTATATAAAAAAATCTGTGGTCACCAAAACCTGGTTGTCTATTACGGGTTTATGCTATCAGAATTTCTTAAGTTTTTCATGAATAATTAACTAGTTGACTGTATAGAAGATAAAAAGTTCAATAAAATACTAAAGCTGTTGCCAATTAAACCCATTTTAAACTACATTTTTGGTATTCCATGCTACAAATATTCAACTGGTCAAATTTTAAAAATTACTTACTTCTGACTTAATAATGTTTAAGAAACAAATTATTGTAAACAAGGTGTAACACAAGTTGTGTGAAATGTTATTTTAACAACAATCTTTATGAAATTTCTAATTACTATTTTACTTTTTTGGTTGAATTCAATTTTCAAAGTTTATAAGCGTATGTTGATTGAGAATTAAAAGTATAATATAATAGGAAAAAAAGGGGTTCAGTTAGATTGAACAAAACAATTTCTGAAAACAATTTATATTTAACAAAATTTCACCTAATCCATAAATTAAAAATAAAATTTGTAAGCACTAATTCACTCAAATCTGTTAAAATAATAATTTAACCAGAAACCTTAAAATATTTGTCAAAAATAAAAATATATATATTTTTTATATAGATGTATGTATATATTATTTATAAGATATGTACATAATTATACATTATAATATTCATAATTATACATTTTGTACAATATAGATTAAACAACATTCATATTTTAATGTTTACAATCTTAATGTCAACAGACTTTTATAACAAGCTGCAATGTTGGTTATAACTAACAGGTTTGTAAAAAGTATCTTCACGAGCCAAAAATAAAATATTTAAAGGTTTCTGAAGGTAACCCTTAAAATTGTTTTAATTTAAATCTTATTCTTTAAACGGAATATTTTTTAACATTGTCTAATATGTTTCATACTTCATTTTTTTTTTCTTTTTAAGTTTTCTAAAACAATAACACGTACATAAATTGTTTCCACCAAGTGATCAAATGGCATTAAATTGCTACTTATTACCTACTGAATGTTTTCAACCTCCAGCACATGCAAACGATCTCAGATATGCAGTCTCTTATTATTTCTACTCAGTTCATTAATTTATTTTGTTCTTGTGCGAATTTTAGTCCTTAGACAAACTAATTGTAATCTTCCAAATAATGTTTTACATTATTTCCCCCTCCCCCCTCCAAAAAAATGGTACAATTTACTTTTACAATTAGCCAAGTGTAATCAGAACAGTTCAAGAATTGAAAAAAACAAAAATTAAATTAAATTTAATTAAATAAAAATGCAAATTGTGCATTAGGATCTTATATTTTCTACTCTCTAAAGTACGAAATGATTGTAAATCGGCCTGAAAATTTAGAAAAACATTTCAAAAATTAGTTCAGATCTTTCATATAAATTATTTATACCAGAGTTAAATCTTACATCACATGCATGTACTGGAGGATTAAGATACTACAGAATTTATTGTGTTACAAACCAGAATAAATATACTCAAATCAGTCTCAATAATTTTCGGCATTTTGTCAATTAAAATTAAATCAGAATTAAAAGAATTTGAGGGGAGAGAGAGCGGTAAGTCTTTTCCTTTTGAACCTTACGTCACTTTAATATAAAGTAAATATACTACTTTTGTAATTGTTTATCATTTATTCTTATCCCTATGTCTAATATTTTATAAAAATATAGGTTGTTTTTATTTTTTTTTAATTTTTATTTTATTTTTTGTATTCAGGATAATGACTGTTTTCAGTTCTACATTTCTCAATAATAATTGACCATTTATTAAACTAATCAATTTCAGCTACTATCTTACAATTCCTAAGAAGGATGTATGGCATACTTTTGGCTTTCTTCAAGAATTTTAATTGATTTCGCACTGTAATTTTTTTCTCGAGTTTAAATGAGTATGTTCTCCTAGAATCGTTTTATAAAAAGGGAATTAGATATGAATTTGTCAAAAATCTGAACAGTTAAAAAAATATTGTTTTGCTGATTCATCTACGTTAGAATTTTTTTTTTTTAAGCAGGCACTTGAAGTTTTCAAACTCGACGTGGCCACCTTTGTGGAGATCTCTATAAACTAACGTAAACATCTGCTCTCAAATCACTCTGATGTTTTGAAGAGTCTCTCTAAAGCAGAAAAAGTTTCTTTATCTTTGCTAAAGGGAGTCACAAACAATCTATCGTTTCTTAGCTCTTCTTCATTCTGACGTTTACCCTTGTGTCAACATTTCTTTCAAATTCTTTCTAAGTATCTTTCCAGTTAGATTCTTAGGTATGGCTTCTATGAATACAACTTCTGAGATTTGCTTGTACTCTGCAACTTTGGCAGCTACGTATTCTTGAAGCTCCTTGGTTGTTGGTTTCTTTTTCGAAGGGACGACAAATGCTACAGGGACTTCTCCAAATCTCTTATCAGGCTTACCAACTACTCCACAATCAGCCACACCAGGATGTGCTCGTAAAATCTCTTCTAATTCTAATGGTGCAACCTGTAAAAAATTAAATAAATTAAATATGAGATTCGAGCACAGAGTTGGTAAGGAAAAAAAAAAAATTATTGATGGATACGTTTAATGACAGATGAGCAGTCAAAGTGGCCTAAAAAACATATAAAATTTATTTATAGCCAGATTTATTATTACACATTTGACATTAAACTAACCAGAAGATGGATCACCTGGTTCGACCAAAACATCAGCTTTAAGCAAAACTAAACATAATGTTTTTCTTTTTTAAGACACTTTGATTAAAAATCTGAATAATCCTATTAATGAAAAAAATCAGTATTTTTTCACTTTGGTGAAAAAGTTCCATTTATAGGGAAATTCCAAGATTGAGAGAAGAAAAAAAGGAAACAATTTTTATCAAAGACTAATCTAAGCACAGTTTAATATTTCAATTTAGTAATATAAGAAAAATAGACATTAAATGAATATTTCAATATAATATTACGTATTACTTGATATATATTTGGGCAGAAAGGAAACTTGAATTTTGGACCTGAGGAAACAAAATGGAAAATCTGACAGATCAAAAGAGATTTAAAAGAAATATGGTGAAAAGGCTGGTCTTAGAACATTTAAAGATAACTCCTTAAAATATGTTTACAATTTCATGGTACAGTAAAAACTTGATTAACCAGGTTAAAGAAGGCAGTGTGGTATTACATATCATTGGAACAAACAAACAGACTTTGAAAATTTCAATAAAACTATTTATAAAAACAATCTAACATTTAAACTGTATATCATATATATATATATATATATATATATATATATATATATATATATATATATATATATATATATATATATATATATATATATATATATAGATAGATAGATAGATAGATAGATAGATAGATAGATAGATAGATAGATAGATAGATAGATAGATAGATAGATAGATAGTTAGATAGATAGATAGATAGATAGATAGGAATGAATTTTATTTAAAAATAGTTGGCCCATTCAAACAATTTGCAGTATATAAGGGTCATTTTCATCATGGATCATCAGAATATAAGAGAGAGGAATTAAATTTCTTTTGTTTCATTACAATCGTTCATTCAAAATAATGGACCAAAACAATAGACAAATTACAATCAACATCATTGGTAAAACTGGTCCAATTTTGATGTTTTATTTTTTTGTTCTGTATGGAATTAGGAAGCCTTTCTAATCGTCATGGTTATGATTTACTATGAATTGTATAATTTTTTAGTTATACACAAATAAAGTTTCCTTTTCTTCTAAACATTTTTTTCCTAACTTTTCTGATGCTCAATCATTGTATCAGATGAAGAATTAACAAAGATGCTGTATTGACAAAAAAATACCTTTGAGAAATAATATATAAAGGTAAATAATATAAAATACAGAATAAATATTTTCAAGTTAATTTATTATTAGCCATATTTACACCAATTTAAAAAAAAAAATTTTGTCACTTAATGACTACTCATCAAAATGACGACGTTTCGGCTCGTTGAGCCATTTTCAAGTCTGTCATTTTCACTTATGCGAATTGCAAGCGTCTACTCATAATAAAATTCCTTATTATTGTCATGTTCACCTTGTTTCTGAGTCAACCACCTGTCATCCATCTCATTTCTATTCAGTGACTAATAAATAGTGTGCACCGAAGAAGAATTGAGTAATATTGTGAAGAATAAATATTTTTGTTTTCAAATTTTGGAATTTTATGTTTATAGATTTTTTACAACTGAAATTTCTTAATGTTTTTTCTTGTTAAAAGCACATTAGTTGTTATCAATGTAAAACAGATTAAGAAGAATGCGTAAAAGTTCTTCATATATTGAATACTAATGAGTAAATATACAAACATTTCTTCTAGCTTTAACTTGTAAAACATTATTTAAAAAAATAAAATAAAAATACACAATATTAATAATGATGGTCTCTATTTAAATATACTATGAATGGAATTATAATAAATAGATTATATCATACAGAAGGATTCATAGTAAACCTTTTTTGACAGTTAAAAAAAAATTCAAAATAATATATTCATTGTTAAAAAAGTGGATTATTTTTTATTTATCAATTTTAAGTAATAAAAAAACAATTTAAGAAGTTAAATATTATTATCTGATTTTTTTGACCTTATGTTCTATATGAAGTGAAATATTTTCAAACAAATAAGTGGTTAATTGAGATCGCAAGTTAAAAAAAGTATCTGTTACCTGGAAACCTTTAACTTTGATTAATTCCTTGATTCGGTCTACAATAAACATCTGCCCCTCTTTGTCGAAGTAGCCCACATCACCTGAAACAATCATTTGTTTAATAGCTTTTAATCTTGATTTGAAAATTGTTCATTCAAAATAAAACAATGAAAAGACATATCATTCCATTTATTACCTCACATCATTGGTATATTGCAAAAAGTCATTAAGTGACATTCCATGAACTTAAATAATTGCAAAACTTTGTCAAATTTTCCTATTATGAAATAAGATAATTTAACACTTATTGTAAATATATTTGATGTATAAAAGGATTTATGTCATTTTCATGCACATACAGTGTTTTTCTATAGATGAATAAAGTCGAAATTCACAAAAAAATATTTGAAAGTTATCCTATATCAAAAATGCATTTAGTGACTTTTTGCAATAAATCAACGATATTTTAAATTAGATTTAAACATACTAAAATATTAATTCATCCTTCAAGATTACTTTTGATATTAAAATGTATTATAAAAATAAGTAAAGTGTCCAGCATATAACTCCAGAGAAAAATGTTTTTAATTCTTCTGAAGAAATATTTAGTTTAATTAAAGGACCGCAATTTTATCCAACCGCAAATGGAGGGTGGGGTGCTTGAGTTGGCTGATGTGTGTGTGCAAAACACATATTTCCCTGCAAGATGATACTTTTTTTTTGCATTTAGGTTATACAGAGTTTTCCTGGGCCAGGGGATGTGGGCAGGAATTTAAAAGACTCCCCCAGCACCAGGACGCGAACTCGTGACTATTTTTTATCATTTGTCTCACATATCGGATTGCTGGGCAACGGCGGTGCTGTGCACACGCGTTAGCCCGTTTGGCCATCCTGCCCACTAGGCAAGATGATAATCAAAACATACTATGATACAATAATTACAAGTTTATATTCCGGTGCCAGGGAGAATTTTGAATCTAGCATTAATTACCCACCCTCACCCCCGACCTAGGAAAAACCCAGTACCACCTGGAAAGCCCTAAGTAATTATATGAAGTAAACCACATTGTAAAGAATGTGTATGTAAACAATTAGTGGAAAACCTTTTTATTTATTAAATATAATATTTATTTGTTGTTGTTATATTATTTATTATAGCGTTATAATAATGTTATATAATTATTTTAATGATTAATTTTAAAAGCTATATTTAAAGAATTTAGATAGTGAAAAAAAAATAGAAGAATGTAATTAGTAAAAATTGTATTCCTTAGGTAATGTTTTTACAATATAAAATTAAATATATTTTGTGGGAATAATGCACAGACCTCAACAGACGGAATTTTCCACTGTCTATATAATATGGTACATTTTGTATCTTATGCATGTCAACAAATAAATTTTCATCCATTCATTCATAAAATGAAATACATTTAAAATAATATATGAATAAAAACAAATCTCTTAATCATTTACCTGTGTGAAGCCACCCATCAATGATAGTTTCCTGGGTGGCTTGATCGTTTTTGTGATAGCCATCCATAATCTGAAATAAATAGAATACATAAATACAAATATATCTTCAAAAGCAAAATAAAAATCATTGTTTATCTTGTATTTCAATAGATGGATAAGTGATATGACATGAAAAAAAAATTTTAGTTTGACCTCTTGTAGGTATGTAAATGATTTTTTGAGTGAAAGGCTTGACAGATACTCAAATTATTTAAAGAGTATCCCGTGAGCATTTTGAAACAAATTGATAATCTTTCAGTTTAGAGATATATATTGATTTTTTGAGCTAATGGCTTGATCTATTTTTAAGTTGATAGCTCAAATTATTCAGTGGGATCCTCTGAGTGTTTTAAAACAATCTCAGCTCAAAACACTGACAAATTATTGTATTGAATATGTATAATTTTAATTTTGAGTGCTCCAATTACTCAATGAGATCCCTTGAGAATTTAAAAAAAAAAAATATGAGTTAAAAATACAGAAAAATATTTCATTCTATTTTAGTTTCACAAAGCCAATATTCTGGCTTGTTACAGCACTCTCTACTAGGAATTCCATGATTCATTGATTGTTTTTGGATCCGTTAGATAGCATGAGAGATATTATTTAGTCACAGGTAATCTTTAGGGTAAGGGCTCTTATCTCAGCCTTTTATATACCTGCTACTTCCACCCCTATTTAACCTTTCTCTTGTCTTTTGAACATAGTTTAGCTCCAAAAATAACAAAATTTGGTAGTGTTTTAAAGCGTGAAAGTTGAAAATGAATTTTAAATTTTTCTAAAATTAAAAAATATTTTTTTCAAAAATATAATTTTGATTTTTAAATTCACGTATATGTAATAAAATTTGCCACACAATGAAACGTTTTTTAAATTTTTCCATACCAAACATTATCAGAAATTGGTTAAAAATTAAGGGTTAATAAAAGAAATAAAAAATTTCAAATAAAGAATAAAATAATAATAATACTATATGTACCAAAACAATATTAGAATGTATAAAAAAATAATGTTAATGTTGCAGTATAATGTAAGACAATTAATAAATTATAAAATTAAAAGAAAGTTTAAAATAATATAAAAGATATTCAACTGTTTATTGAAATATGAGCTAACATCATATTACAGAAAAATGTATGTCAGTTATAAAAAAAATATTTTAATGAGGAAAAGTCCAAAGTGACGGGAGCAATAAATAAATCCCGCACACAGAAGTTTGGCTAGACCTTGAGTACCCCACATGCACGGCACCTAACCTTGATTAAGGCTCTACGCAACTAAAAGGTTAAGTATTCACAATTTTTTGTTGTCTTCTAACAATATCATGTCTTTATATATGTATAGTTCACATGTGATTAATATAAACTGCCAATACATGAAAAACTAAATAAGTACAAAAAATATAATTTAATTTAAAAACAAAATGGCCTGGAGAAATAGTCCTACATGTTCTAAGGAGACTAATTGCAAGTCTGTTTTAAATATATTGGTATTTTTTATTAAAGTTATGAACTTTTCACACGATATATTTCCTGATAAGTACATCTTTTCTCATGTATAGGTGCAAATCAACAATATCTTTTTGTAAATAGATTTAGGAGTGGGATACAATGGACAATAAAATTAGATATTTATAATTTAAAAAATAATAAATCAAACTGCTAAATATGAACTTAGAATTCAATCCTAAAATATATTAATATTTTCACCTGTGGTCCACGGACACATATTTCTCCAGGAGTGCTTGCATCTTTGATCTTGCCTGTTTCTGTATCAACTATCTTTATTTCTGTGTTCGGGACGATATGGCCAACAGAAATTAAATTTGTTGACGTATTTTTGCTACATGTTATCACTGGCGATGCCTCAGTCAAACCATAACCTAAAAACAAAATGGTTTAATTGACAAACAAAGTATAAAAATTAAAAAATTAACCATACAATTTTAAAATAAAGTTATTACCATTGTTTTTATGTCAGAAATTATGCGTATTATTATTTTTGTCTCAATTATCATTGTCATCACTTTCTTAGATATATTTTAAAATAATATTTAAAAAACAATCAAATATATTACTTTCACTTATCTATATATGAAGTATACAATAAGAGAATATAATATGAGAGTGAATTATTTTTAATTTGATTTTTTGAATTTTATATGAAATTAATTTTTGAATTAGATTTTACTATGAAAATTAACATATAAAGGTCTCTTGAGTCCAAATAACCAAGTTTAGCAAAATGGCCGGTATAAGAAGAAACTTTTAACGAAAACTGATTTACCAGAAGTGCCACTATTTATAACTGATTTTACACTTAGATTTTTTTTTAAATAAACATTTTTTTCAGAATAAATAAATACATAAACAGAAAGCACATCCAATCCAATAATTTTAAAATACTGTTTAAGCTAGATAAAAAGATAAGTCACATGATTGTCATACTTTGCAATAATGGTCGTATGTTATTAATTATATTAGTGATATTTTTAAGGTTCATTAATTTATTTAAAATTAATTTGTAATGAACCCCAGGTGTTAAGTGAAAGTTTCATGAAGCATCCCACCAGACCTTTTAAAAATAATTTTTAACAAATCCCAGGCACGGGTGAAAAAGGGGGCTTTCGGGCTGAAGCTAAATGATTATAAAAATTATTTATCATACAGGAATAATAATTGGTGCTCAATTTATCTCCCATTTTATTTTTCTCAAGTTGCCTAGAATACTAATTGAAAGTCGACCAATCAAAATCAAATTATTTGGATCTATGTTTAAAAAATCTTACTATTGTATGTAAATAATGATTACACGATTCAAACTTTAGGAACTCAATAGAAAACTATAGGAATAGGAACTACTGGATACTACAATAAGTAAAATTAATACATAAAACTATCAATACCAGAAAGAATACGTAATGATTTCTTCTTCTCGAGCAGTTTATTGGCATCGGTTTGTGATACAGCAGCTGCACCATTCATACAGTACCTCAAAGTGTCAAGATGAGATGCTGATACAGCAGGATGATTTGCTAAAAACTGCACCAAAGGTGGAACCACATGTGCCAGCGTTGTCTGCAATAAACACATAGAAAAACTTTAAAATTCATTTCCAAAATTCTTTTAATTAAAATAAGTTTGATAGTTTATTAGGATGTCTCTTTCAAATGACAAAATATTGTGGGAAATTCCCTATGTTCTGAGAGAATCATCTATATGTATAAAAAAAAAAAAATCAGAACTTACTTTTTGTTCTTTCAATGCCTTGAGGTACATGTCAGGCTCAAACCTCGGAAGGGTCAGAAGCTTGCAACCTCTACCCAGGTAAGAGAGACTGCCAATTACAAGGCCGTATACATGGAAGAATGGTAGTACGCAAGCAATCGTATCTTGATAATCAGCTAAAAATAAAATAAAAAATAAAAATTAATTTAGCTTGATATAGAAAACTAAAAGTAATAAAAACAACTTTCTCTTTTGTATGTTAGTGACCTTTGAGTTCTGAGGATAATGTAAATGCTTAAACTACAGCCAGCCATGATTAATTGGCAGCCCGAGTTCAAAATCAAGCTACACTAAATTAAAATCAACATTATATTTTTTCTCTAACTCTCCAATATTACTTATAAAATATGTACAAATTTATACATATACTTAAAAATGATATTATAATCTTCTAATTTATGAATATATTTGTAATATTTTGTAAGGAATAGCGAAGAGTTTGAGAAAAAATATTATGTTGATTTCAATTGAGTGTCAAATTAGTTTCCCTTTAGAAAACATAGGAAAAATAATAACACTATTATCAATTGTGTCTTACCCGTGGTGTCAATTACTGGACAAGTTTCTGGCTGTTCTACTTGCACAATATTTGAAACAATATTTCTGTGCGTCAGGCGGACTCCTTTTGGAAGACCGGTTGTACCTGAGGAATAGAGAAGTAACGCGAGATTGTCAGGATCAATTTTGACCTATACAAAAAACAAAAAAAAACTTTGATAATATGCATTTTAGTAATTTTGTATAAAATATTTATAAATTTTATAAATGTATAAATAATTGTATAAATAAATGTATTTATAAATGTATACAAAAATACATCGGATATATGAATTTAGTGAAAAAAAAATGAAAACATTTTAAGAATACATAGGTTAGGAATTAAACATTAAATGATGAATTAGCATTTTTAAAACAAATAAACTTATTCAATTTGTTTGATAAAATAATAAAATATGTTATTTTCAATATCTGTTCTCAATAATCAGTTAGAATTGTCCGAAATCAGGTATGAGTAAATAATGAAAACATATAGTTAATATTGAAGAGCACATAGGCAGGAGAGAATCAATTAAAAAATAAAAATAAAATGAAAATTCAACAACTAAAATCAGTCTGCATGAAGGATCAAGGAGGAAAATGATGAAAGCAGAAGTTTTTTTCCAAAAATGAGTTAAAAATACCATTATTAAAAAATGACTGGGAGGAAACGACAAACTTAAAAACTCAATCAAAGATAAAAACCAAGAGAGAAGGAAGGATCAATCACCATCAAATTTTTTTTAAAGTCATGGAAAGAATATTTGAAACCGATATAAAGTCAAGTACACATTTCCAACCAGAGCTATTTGGTGTTTGACTGTTCTTAAAACATATATATTAATCATTTTCTAAAAGAATATTTTTTGAAGTGAAAACTTCTTCAGGCATGTTTTTAACTTTTTTTGTGGAAACTGAATTAGATTGAGCAGTCAGATCTCTGACATGTAACGCTAGAGTAAAGTTGGCTGGAGCCTTTAACTCGACTAATTGAAGTGCTTTTGCATATGGATTAAAATATCTCAAAAATTAAAAACCGGAACTGCATATTGTTAGTACAGGAAATGTTCATCATTCACAAGGAGCTATTATTCAAAATTGTATCTTAACGCAACGTTAGAGAGGCGAATAGAGAAAAAATATTGCTGAAAACCAAATTATAATGAGTTTTATTGAAGATATAGATTAAAATATCTGAGAAACTTAAATTCGGACGGCATACTGTAAGTGAGGGAATTGTTCAGCATTCCATCCTCTCTGTAATGAGCTATTGTTCAAAATTATATCTTAACGTGATGCCGTATTACAGAGGCAAAAAGAAAAATAGAGCATAAAACAAAATGATTAAGAGTTTTATGGAAGATATGAATTAAAATATCTCAGAAACTAAAAATTGGAACTGCATACTGTAAGCAAGGGAAATGTTCAGCATTTCATCCTCTTTATCATGAGCTATTATTTATAATTTATATTTCATTTTATTAATCTCGCCTTGTTGTTTTAACTTTTAGTGTGAGGTCTAAAGCACACAGCTTAGTTTTTCCTTAAAAGAAATTTAATGCACCGCCCACCAGCTAAGATCAAGAGGAAAAGAATAAACCTGCCTACATAATTTCAATTTTACAACACCTACAATGTTAAACATACTCTTAATAAAATTGAATATGAAGACTTAAAACATTTGACAAAATTCCTCAATAAACCATTAACAGTTAATTTTACATCACACTTCTAAGAGAAATGACCATTTATTTGTGGGTTATCATGAGATCGAAGATGAATAGAGACTTCAGATTTGATTGTAATAATAGTTTTTTTTTTTTTGGTTGGTTGCTTAGATGTTTAAGGCACAAAATTTTAAGTTCATCAGCCCCCACAAATAAAATAATATTAATAAAACTAGTTTAAAGAATATTCTACTTCAATTAATAAAATATTTGGCTGGTAGGTTATAAAAAAACGAAAATGTTATCTAACTAGGAATTCAAATGGGAAACAAAAACAATGAATAAAAAATAACACAATTAAAAAATAAATAACAATAGTACTATTGATAATTTACTAGGGATTCTTATAACAGGAAAAGCTACTATAAAATTTATTTTCAAGATGTTTCAGCTGTCAGGCCATCATCAGTTGATTAAGTGGTGCAATGGAGTGATGTTCCCAATAAGAGAAAACATATTAGAAACAGCTTCCCTTAACACCACCAAATCAGCCGATGAGAGCCTCACAGCTGACGCGTCTTGAAAATAAAATTTGTTTGAATCGTGACCCTATTTTAGCGGTCTCAGTAATCCGTAGTAAATTGCTATTACATTATTTTTATAATAATAAATGAATAAAACATATGAATAAATAATTTAAAAAAATATATTAATAGAAGAAATAAGAATTATAATATAAATTATAAAATAAAAAACAGATTAAATATTACAATAAAAAAGAGAAGAGTTTTAATTTCTGTATGTTCTGATAATAAAAAAGTTATTTTAAACTATAAAAATTATCATGAAATATTTAATTATTGCAATTCTCTTATCTAATTATTTACTTTATTTATAATTATATTATTTTGAATATTTTTTTAATTGTAGTTCGAATCGATGTAAAATGATTTATTCACATATTTTATTATTACCATAATAAAAATTATTTCAAAAGCATTTTTTTATTACTATCATGACATCAGACGGGACTGTAAAATTTGTTTTTATTTTTTTACAGAAAATGTGTGAATTGTGATTCTCATCACTCTCCACTTCTGAAATTTTCTCATTTTACATGATTTTAAATAGTTCAGATCAAATAATAGTAATACTGACCTTATCTACAGCTTTCTGGTCATCTTCATCAACCATGAATAGTTCCATGAATGACTGAATGCCATCCGGGACTTCCTCGCCTGGCTGATGTATCACTGTGATAATGGGTTTTTTGTCCATTTTGCTCACAGCAGTTTTAACTTCATCCAACTTCAACATAAATGTTAATACAAGAGCAGAGTCAGAATTGTTTATCTGATAGCCTATTTCCTCTGTAAAAAGAAAACGAGATTTCATGAAAAACTAATAAGGAAGATATCATTATATATAATTTAAAAAATAAATAAATAAAATAAAAATGCTACAAATTATTTCAAAACTATTAATAAATATATTTTATTCTCAACTATTATTATTTACTTATCATGTTTTATTTTATTCATCAATTATTATTAACACTATAAACAGTTTTTCAGCATTATTTTACCAAGGAAAAAAAAATTAATTCAAATAATTTTGAATTATTTATTCATTTTTTTAAGGCTATGGCAGGGGTGATCTGGGACTTCAGTCACAAATTCGAAAAAAAATAGCCCAGTAGTCTCAAACAAAAGCCTTTAATACTTAATTAAAAATGTGTAAACATTGTTTTATACATATCATTGATGTTATAACCAACATAAAGTAATTTTCAAATATATTTTAAAATATTAAAACCAATGATTTACCCAGACTTTTATTATTATTACCAATAAGTGTTATATATATCTATATATATATATATATATATATATATATATATATATATATATATATATATATATATATATATATATATATAAAACCATGTAGGTCATCAGGAATTTATGATATAAACAACTTAAATTATGTCAGAAAATGACCTTACATTGGAACAAGGCAGTGAGTGGGGAATACACTCTATTGATTTTATAGCAGTCAATATGTCAATGCTATCAAAAGAAAAATCATGCCATAAAATTTTTTATGAGCATCAAAGGTTAAGCATCGGTTAACAAAGACTTAAGTTATTCCAAGTTTTGAAGATAGAAAGGCTACTAATTTTCATTTTTTTTTTTTTTCTATACAGACAAACTAAATGTGTTTTAAACCATTCTTAAGTAGTTCTTAAGCAAATGATAACAATGGAACAACATTATGACAGTAGTAGAGATAAGCTTAGTTTGGCTTACATTAACATTGTAGGGAGGGAGAAATTTTTTTAGCTTAGGGCGCCAGAAAACCTAGAACTGGCTGTGAGAATGTTTATATATTTTATTTTCGTAACTATTCTAAAGATTTCTTAAAATTCGGAAAAAAATATTTCTGATTTACTTAAAAATAATAAAATATTAAGTTCGAATATCTTTTTGATTCTCATACTAACCACTTCCATAGATAGGGTTAATAGTAGATACTACAAGTCCGGCCCTGAGTGCTCCTAGAAGGGCGATAATGAACTCTGGGATGTTCGGCAAGACAAAAGATACGACCTGACCTGGCCTCAGGCCTGACTTCAGGTACCCAGCAGCCACCCTTCTGCTGAACTCATCCAGCTGGGCATAGGTGTAATTTCTGCCGGACATACAGCACTCCTGAAAAAGAACATTTATTAATAACAGGAGAACGATACAAAAAGTGGAAGATAGGAGAAAAGGTGTTGTCAGGTGAAACTTCAGAATTGGTGTATAATAAATGATTTTTTTTTAATTGAAGGAAGTTAGTCGACTGTTCTACATATCATGCGTGATAAATATTCAGGGAGTAGTCGTTATAAGGTTTTTTATAAGTGCTGACAATTCAACCCAAAGATATGGGTCATCATCAGGGCTGAAAATTTTTAAAAACAATCAGAGATATATATTAGTCGTATAATATTATATCTCTGATTGTATTTAAAAATTTTCAGCTATGTTGATGATCCACATGTTTGGGTTGAAACGTCGGCACTAATAAAAAACCTTATAATGACTGCATCCTGAATATTTATCATCCATGTATTTTTTTTTTTTTTTTTATTGTTCCTCCATTTAACAATGGTTCTGTTAATTTATTACTGGTAATTTTCACAATATTTCAAACATTAAAACTCCATTAAATTATGGATTAAAGAGATTAATATTTGAAACAATAATATATTAAAAAAAATATTTCAATTTTTTATATTAAATTACCTTTTCAACAAAAACATAAATTCCCGAAAAAATTAGACCTTAATAAGATAATTTGCAAATTTTTTCAATCATTAAACTCATAAGAAATTAATATTTCCAAATTTTTCACTGAGCCAATATTCATAAGTTGGTGAGTAAATATTGAGTAGTTAGCTGAAACTTTGCCCACAGCTCATCGGCAGCTCTTGTCTGGCATTCTTTAATGTTCGTAGAGGATAACAAAGTTTGGACTTGAATCATACAACATTATTTAAATTGCATTGAAAATCGAATAGATAATAATAAATATATTCAAACTTATGGTAGTAAAATATTTCTATTTCTTTTTATCAAGAGATATTTGACATTTTTTCTTTTTTGTTTTTGCGAACTTAACAATTCGTTAAAAAAAAAATTGTTAATTTTAATTTTTAGGAAACATTGAACTTAGAGAGTATTATTAGGTCTCAAATTGAAGCTGATTGAATATCCAATATTGCTCGTTGACTTGTTTAAAAGATACATCATATCATCCACTGAACCAATAAACCGTTCATAAATAAATTTGGTCACAGCCAAAAGTAAAATAATCAACATTAATATACAAACACAAAATGTCAACATAATCAACAAGTAATAATAACATGCACTCGATACTGTCGTAGTAGATATACGTTTCATATTTGATATACAATAGAGATATTGTTAACACTTAGCGACCTTCTAAAGGCACTATTTCGCTGGTACTGCCTACTAGCTGTTAAGGACTGCTTTGATGGAATAGAAAGAAGTCTTTCGCTGTCCACTATTACTCCATTTTCTTCCTATTGTACAATGCTAGAAAGGATAATGTCCAAATAAGCTTTTTAAATTAAAAACATTATTATAAGTAGACAATGCACCAGATCCATGCTACCAGTTATCTCTATGTCAACTGAGCTAAAATTATCAGTAATAATTGAACATGTAGGGTTCGTCATGATTGGAGCAATCCATGTTAGTCTTGTGACTTTCCTTCAGGACTGATCGTGTAAGATCCACTGTATATAGAATAGTACCTTTCCAACGAAATAGTGCCTTTGCTATTCCACTAAAGCAGTGCTTTACTGCTAACATTCGGCCCAGAAGGGAGTTTTATGGCGCAAGTTCGCCATCAAAATTAATGAGGGGACACTTTTTGAGGGGTTTTTCAACTTTTGAGGGGTCACATTTCGACAGTATTATGAATTTTCAAAATGAAAAGTTTCAAATCAAAAGATAAGTGGAATCATGGAACAGGCCACAGGATGTGTAATGATATATAATCTACGAATATTCAAATACTACTTTCATTTGTACTGTTTCTAAGAAGAAGAGAAGAATAAAATATGTAGCTGTGGATATAAAATATGTGGGAGAAGGTTTGATTTGCAATCGGTCTTGAAGGGGATGGGCATCCCAGGTACCAGTGAAATAATTTTTTAAGGCAGTGCTTAACTGCTTGCAGCTGCTGGGCAGTACTAGTGAAATGGTACCTTAACTGCTTCTGATTTTCAAGTCGGTATTATCCATGTTAAGTAAAACTGATTGAATTAAATAAGCATTTAATCAATTTAACAGTGAGGCACATTTTGACTGAATGTTATGCATATGAAACACAACAAAATGAAGTTGAATTGGAGAATTATATTACTACAATTTTGAAAAACACCACCAAATTGGCAAAACAATTGTTTACATTCCTTAAAATAACGCACTTATGTTATTTTAACAAAGTTAAAATTTTGCTGACTCTTTTTTGGAAATTTTAATGTTTTAAATATTGTGTATTTTCAATTTATTGTTAAATTTCATTTGATATAATATAAATAATTTTTAAGGGCTAAAATGACCCCTAAGAGATTGAGGAGCCCGCCATTGTTATAAATAAATAAATAATCTAATTCTTTAACGGACACACACTCCTACAAAATAATTTGCTAAAATTATACAAAATGTTCTTAAATAAAATAATGAAAAACCTTTGATTGTAACAGGTGTTAGTACATAAATATAAAACAGGAGAAAATACTTCAAATTATAAAGATGATTGGACATTTACAAAAGACATTAAACTTTAACCTTGCATAGTATTTGTTTTTAAGTCAAAATGAATTGGTTATAATCGCCTAGAACTAGAAGTTGAAAACAAGCATGGTTCAAAGCCAAAAATGTTTGGGACAGACCCAACAAGTATTTCAGCTGCAGGGTTATGATTGTGTTTACAAAGTTTTTTTCAATGAACTTTATCAAGTTAAAGGTTAAGAAACGAATTGAATCCTGCATCAAAAGCACATAGACTGTATTCATCCATACAAAGATATTTTGTCAATTTATTTCATTTTGGAAAGTAATCATGAATACATTTAAGACAAATAAGATTTGCATTTAAAATGGAATGTTAGTCAGGAGATAAACTCAGTTCCTTCCAAAACAAGAAATAAAAATTAATCAATAGTTAAAAATAAGTAAATTTATGATAACTGATAGAAAACCATTCCTCGTCATTACTACAGAGAAGAAATATAAAGTAGATAAAATAATGGTTCAGTATATTTTGTGAAATACAAGGCTTAATTAAGATACCATTCATTTGCTAAATACACTCAAACATTATTTATTTGTATCATTTCCAAAATTAATGTACCAACTTGGTTTCTGAAGATTTTAACAAAATTGGATTAACAGTAATAGGTGTTATGAACATCACATTGATTTTAGCAGAGACAGTATCAGTATTTTTTTTTCAAATCCTACATGAATAAAAACTCTGCCTTGGATTAGTGTGTAAGTGAAATCATAAAATAATTTCAGTAAAATTTGTCAAGCATATTATGTATGACAAATTTTACTGACTGTGTGATGTTCATGAGTTGTTGAAGTTACAACATTTTTACTTTCACTTACATATATATGTAATAAATAGTAAGAGAAGTATTGCGATGGTGAAATTTTTTTAATCTGATTTTTCAACAGATATACATGTTTTGAGGTCTCGTGAGCCCAAATAACGAAATGGTCCTAGTGTGTATGTGTGTGAACATTTCAGCTTAAAAACGAATAGTCGTATGCAACTGAAATTTCATATTTAAGGTACGTGCTTGCCTTAAGATGTTACAGCAACGTTTTCTTCAGAATCGGCTAACCGTAAGTGTTACTTTATACCTTCGATTTTACATATTTTTACAATTTTTTCGAAAACGGCTCAAACGATTTTGATTAAATTCATTACATCCGTGTAAAATGAAGCCGTTTTTAATAGAATATAGGCCTTATTATCCTCATTGACGTCTTCTAACAGGGTTAAAATGAATAATTTTCAAAATTTCTTCCTCTAAACTGCAACTAGAGATTCTTACAGAATATCCAATGTTTTTTTTCAAAATATCTAACTTTTTTCCAATTAGGTATGGGTGTTTCAAAAAATCTCTTTTCAATAATAGATTAATGACATCCATGAAAAAAATATGATTATTTTGCAGAGTGTTTACAGTAATTTAAAATTGCAAGAACGACGAACCGATTTATCAGACATTAAATAAGTTTGTCCTATTAGTGAACTATAAACTTTTCAAAAAGTAGGACATATAATATACTCTTTTCCTCTTAAAACACCGTTAATTATACAACAAAGAAAACCCAAGGTAAAGTACGAGTATTGAATAAATCCAACGCCATTCATTGATGGCAAGATTCAAAACGTAAAAGAGGTAAGATCTAAAGAGACAATAGTTCAATAAACTCGATTACAGTTAGCTAAGACAATACATCGACGGTAATAAAAAGCCTGGAGGTGTGTCCGTGGTTCTAACCTCGACCTCTTTGAGCGGGTCAGTCAACTTGTGACATCACTTCTCCAATATAGAGACGTACAGTTCTGGATCGTTCACGACTGATTAATCATTAAACATTCAGATAGTCAGAGTATCGTATCACTAATATTTGATATGCTTACATTTATACATTTATGAGTCTTGATTATATTAAAATAGTATGCCTGAGCGAATAATTAACATAAAAAAAAAAATCAATAGATGTCCAACTGTTTTAAAAATTCATAAGTCCCCTGACATTTAGAAAAAACGTAACACATTTTCTAAGACTCTCTATTTATAGTACACAGAGTACAAATTACGATAAGTTGTATCTTGGATAAAACTTGTCCGTTTTCGATGATTTTTTTTTTTACGCTTTATAGGTGATTTGAAACGATTTTTAATTATTACGACCACTATAAATTCTATACTTATTGAATTATGCATAAATAAAGTTACCTTTTCGCTTACATTTTCAGTCAACAATGTCATGTGATATTTGTGTATTTTCTTCTGATTTAATAGATTTATCAAATTATGAACACTTGAAGAGAAAACGGCATACTCCTGGAAATCAGACACGTCCCATCACGAAGAGTACAATGAACT